AGCAGAAAAAGGCATGGAAAACATGAGATACCTTCAGGACAGCAGAATCAGCTTTGGAAGTAGATAAGTTCAAAACCTGCCAACAGGATACCTTTAGGCATGAGAAACACAGCCACAAGTGTATGCAGAGGAGAGAGGAAAAGTTATCAAAGGAATACATGTATCTGCAAAAGAGGATAAGCAGATGACAGAAGTGTATACCTGAAGGTGCAAGAACAAAGAAGCAAGAAAGAAAAGAAGAAAATAGAGAAATTAGCTAATCTTTTCAAAGGTCCCACTCAGTTACATCATTGAAAAGACCTCTTTAGTCCATCTTTTCCATAAAATCAGAAGGAATTGACACAAAACTATGATATGAGAATTAAGAGTCAAGGAGGTGGTTTGTGCAAGGTGACGATAGAGGATTGTAAGACATGAGATAGTTAAATCAAAATGTGTATAATACTATAAGACTTGAAACACCTCGACAGCGCTTCACATTTATACTCAGCGCTATACAGAATCTGAAACCTAGTTATTTAACAAGAATTATATATTCTTACGGATTTTACGAAGTTTAATGAGAAAATAATTTACAGCAACTGTGTTGCCCCAAGTAACCATAACTCATCAGTGAGGGCGGTAAGAATTTCACAGAGATCTTTGGCAAAATGTACCAGAAGTCCTAACAATGTAATGACTATGTTATTGTATATGATAAAACATGGATTGGCATGCTGTACATACAAGGTGATGACATGCAACTTGTGAAACAGTTCATTATTCAGCCATTACTAGGTCATAAGTACAAGAATTTACAGAGTCTGTCATGGACAGGAGCACACGCATTCAAAATCGGAGTCCTTTATTTCAATGCAGGGCATTGTGAGTTAGCCCTGGTAGGCTTAGCCATACATTAATGTGTACTTTCTACTTAAGACTCTCAGATTTCTCCACTCTGCATATCAACATTACAAGTGAGTATTAACCACTCACTTCAGATGCATTAAAAATGTAAGTGATCATCTGAAGCTCACAATTACCTGTATCTCTGCCCAGATCAAAGCTGACTATTCTCCAGTGCTGCAGAACCTCAATAAATGACTAAAAAAAAACAGTGCTATCATTATTTGCACAGGCCTAACATTAAAAATATAACCCAAAATTTAGTTTATTAGGCCACCTGGAATGTATACTTTGTCTTTCTGAAGCCCATATGCGCCCTTTTTGCAGTCTGACTCACAGTGAATCAACCAGTTTGTTTTTAATTTATCTCTGCTGAGGATGAACTTGCCCAGATGTACTGAATTGCAGAAGTTCGTACCATGACTTCAGCTTTTTCTTTCAGGAGGTTAATCTGCATTTGGCCTAAAAAGAAGCACAAACACAAATAAAATGTAGTCACAAAGCAGCACCTAAGATGCTGCTGAAAATCTTAAAAAAGAAAAATATTGTTGAACTTTGACATAAATTTTTATGAGGAAACAAATATGATAATTTTAAATGTAAACATCAAGGAAAGGGAAACAGCTCTACTGGGTAATCTGCAGCAGTGGTGTAGGAAATCTCTGCCCCTTCTTAGTATGTGTAACACTGAATATTTCAGAAAGCATTAAGTGTCAGGGAAAAAAAAAGCAGACCATAAACCATTCCATAACGATGTAAATATCAGAGCCATCAACGAACACCTCAAACTCCCTAACATGCAAGCTTTGAGTAATCTCTACAGGACTTCCTCTTCATGTGCAGGCTTCCTTGGGAAGTATCTTTTTCATTGTCTGAAGCTCAAGTCAGATGCCTTCTATCTGCAGGAAACGATGCTTCATGTAAGAGAGGTGCCAGCAGTCTACTTGAAGACAAGCACTTGAAAGTGAGTTTTCTGTTGGCTCTGTGCTCTAGGCTGTCAGGGTCCTTCTAAAAGGCAACACATTCATCTTGACTGTCAAACACAACTGTATCCCCTACTCTGTGCCATCTGCCAACTCGCTGAGGGTGCACTCTGCCCCTGTCATCCAGGTCATTAATGAAGATGTTAAACAGGACTGGACCCAGTATAGTCCCCTGAGGCACACCACTGGTGACTGGAATTCAGCTGAGCTAATCACAGCCACTGAAGACCAGCAGTTCCGTCAGTTTTCCATCCACCTCGCTGTCCACTTCTTTAGTCTGTATTTCGTCAGTAAGACAGTGTTGAAAGCCTCACTACAGCTGAAATCAAATGACATCCACTGCTTTTACCTGATCCAGCAATCAGCCTTCTTATTTTAGAAGGCTACCACGTTGGGCAGGCACTCATTATCCATGATGACTAATTCACATCACTGCCCTTGGAAACAGTTTCCAGGAGAATTTGCTCCATCACCTTCACAAGGATGAAGACGAACCTGACCAGCTTGAAGTTATCCAGATCTTCCTTCTGGTCCGTCTTGAAGACAGGAATGATGTTTGCTTTCCTCCAGCACACTCAGTACAGCAGTTTACAGATTTATGCCTTTTTTTTATTTACCATTTGTGAACTCATAAGGTTCTTCCCCTCTTCAAAGTGAAAAAGCAAGGGAAGTCTTCTGTTCTTCTGGTAGTGCTGAATGGAGGGAACGACCGTTTAGCATTTTCTGAATAAAGAGCTACATATATTTTAATAGCAAAATACAGCTGTGTAAACTGAAGGACATGGTTATCCAGACAGGTGTTTCAAAATATAACCTATAAAGCAAGGACAAAAAATAAATTAAGACCTTGGCAATGAATAGATACATGTCTTTATATTTAGATAAACATACATGCATATGTATGAAGGAAAAAAAGATGTTTTACACAACCCATTAAAAAAAGAAAAAGCAAAACAATTAAACTGCTGAAAGAATTATTACCCCCAGTTCCTAAGAGTTGTGAACTGATGGTTGCAGGAAGTTTTACAAACATGAAAAATGTTTCCATTTACCTTAAAATGCAATACTCTCCTTGTGTAAAACTCTAAGAGCCTTAACTTGTGCATTAGCAAAGAAACACTGCCTTTTCTATTTAGCAATCAGCTTTTTGTTTAAGAATTTTACAAAAATAAAATAAACCAGTGTGTTCTACTTCTCAGAGGAACAGATGTTTCAAAACCCAACCTGTGTGAAATTCTTGGACATCAAACCATCTATATTAAAAAATGTTACAGGATCCCTATCTCCTTCTCCTGTGTTTGCTCCAGCTGTTCTTATGCAAGGAAAAACAAAACATTTACTTCCACTGGCCCCAAATGCCACCCCCTCCCATCATGTGGGAGGGGAAATAAACAAAAAGGGGAAAGAGATTCTGCCTTGAGAACAGTGTCTTCCAAGACCGCAGGCTGTTTATCTGACTGATCCTATACTGCTCCTTTCTCATCTTCACAGAGAACGAAGTGCTGGTGACATAGAGTGGCCTGGGCTACAGGAATCTGTCCCCACCAAAGGGTGCAGCCAGGAAGGCCAACAGTGTCCTGGCCTGTATCAGAAGTAGAGTAGCCAGCAGAGGCAGGGCAATGATCATCTCCCTGTACTCAGCACTTGTGAGGCCACACCTTGACTCTTGTGTTCAGTTCTGGGCTGCTCACTATAAGAGAGATATTGAGGTGCTGGAGCAGGCCCAGAGAAGGGCAAAAAAGCTGGTGAAGGGTCTGAAGCACAAGTCTCATGAGGAATGGCTAAGGGAACTGGGGTTGTTTAATCTGGAGAAGGCTCAGGGGGGACCTTATCACTCTCTACAGCTACCTGAAAGGAGGTTGTAGTGAGGTGGGGGTTGGTCTCTTCTCCCAAATAACAAGCTATAGGGCAAGAGGTAACGGCCTCAAGCTGCACCAGGGAAGGTTTACATTGGATATTAGAAAAAATTTCTTCACAGAGAGGGTGATCAGGCATTGGAACAGGCTGCCCAGGGAAGTGATGGAATCACCGTTCATGGAAGTGCTCACAAACCATGTAGATGAGGCTCTTTGTGACATGGTTTAGTGATGGACTTAGCAGCCCTGGGATAATGGTTGGACTTGATGATCTTAAAGGTCTTTTCCAACCTAATTGATTCTATGATTCTACATTGTAGCCTTAAGAAGTAGTGGTCTGTAATAACCACAAGCAGGGATCTGGCATTTAACTGTGAGACAGAGCGGTTTACACAAAAACACAGAAAACGGTTTCTGCAAGCCAGGCACAAGTGCTTATTTCAACATCTGGCCCCACCCAAAAATGCTGAGCAGTCATAGCCACCTAATTCTGCTTTAGTTTGTGTTCATAAGTCAAGGGCGATTGACACGGTTTTCTCCCAACACTTGAAAAACAACTAAACAATGCCATTGTCCCACCATTGAGGAGTACTGCAAACAGCCCCGCTGATCTCCTAGCAAGTTACAATAAAATGAATTTAAAAAAAAGTTAAGGGAAACCAATCCATCATCTAAGCAATAAAGTTAAAAGCAGATTAGAAATGAATATCCCTGACTGATGGAGCCTTACAAAACTGCTTTTTTCAAACCTGCTATAGAACCTTTTCTTTTTTAATCAGCACAATTGGCTTTGAGTGCTTTGTCAATGCGACAAACCTTTTCCACCAGAAATGCAGCATTTATTCAAATGCTAATGAAAGTGAATGCAATTTGTAGTGGTGCAGAATCAACTTTTCAAGACTGTAATTTGCATTTGTATGAAACTGATTTTTTTTCAATATAAAACATATTTGAATACGGTTCTGAGACTAAAGGAATTGATACACTGCTTTTGCTGTCGGTTTAAAAGTATTTTGATTTCCTTATGATGGGCAACTCTAATAATACTGAGCAGCTTTTTATATTTACACTTTTTTTTTCAACTCAAGATTCATTAAAATCATAGCTCTTATATTAAACCATTGTATCTACTAGCTCAATTTTCAGATCCAAATCAATTGCTCGTACCATTCTGTCAATGTAGATTCATCTCTCAATTCACCATAACTGACCAGAGTTTGTAGACCGTAACTTTCAGCAATGTAATGATCTTCCTATAATCATCAGCCAGCACAAGTGGTTCTTCCATTTTTATTTCTCCACAACATCCCCAAACCCAAAACAGAATAGAAAGTAACACTGAAAATATTCTGCTGTTATTTATTATAAAATCACTGTCATGTCTGAAACTGGATTACTGGATTCAGTTTTGGTCTTCCCAACTCAGATGAAGCGTAACAGGAGTGAGACAGATCGACAGATGGAGGCATAAAGTTTCCATTCAAAGAGTAGGAAAAAATCTGAAGCTGCATCAGCTTGAGACCCAGGATGACAGCTGAGCAAAACAACCCCAGGCCCTTTTATAGAAGGGACATCCAGTGAAACTGAGACATTAATATATTGGTTTTGCAAGGCCACCAACATACCAAATTGCTAAACGCACAAACACACAATGAGAATACCCATATTTACTTTATAGAAAATAAAAGTTGCAAGCATATGACTTCATGTGATCCCTAAAGCTCAAAGTTGAGCTTCAGACAGGTCATTTCATAACTGCCTGCTATAGGTGTTCTTTTATTCTTCTTTTAAAAAGAATCACCTACAGAATAATGGACTGACTATAAATGGTTATTTAAGGGGAATTCAGCATTATATACAGCTGCAGCTGAATTTGTCCATTCAAGCAGAGGATTTATGGGTAAGGTATATTTAAAATTGTCTATGGCATGGTATTGACAAAGGTTTTAAAAAGCACAAAGTCTTCAGGTGTAGGCTTCTGAGATCATATCCAGCACGGACACTACTTTAGCCAAGCATGGAACTTAACAATTTCTACCCTCGACAGAAACACTATCATCTGGGAAGTACTATTAGTAAGGCAAATGGCAACATTTAATTAAAACATGCAGTGTGTTTTCTGTATGGTTTATGTAACAACCCATCTTTGCCTAGTAACAGTAATTGCTATTAGGCAACATAAAATACAACCTTTGGGGAAGCATTTACAAGGATGGTTTCAAAAAAAGATTTGGATTTTCAGAGTATTTACAACAGCTAATGGCACAGTAAGCCACTGTTGGTGGGAGAGTCCACATAAAACATGCATAGATGACACTAACTGGCACTCCATACATGTTCTGCCCTATGCAGCAATATGAATGACTGCAAAGAACAAGCATAAATTCAATCTTTTTTTTTTCATTGAATATATTGGAATAGTAACAAGAAGACACTTCCTCCAGAAGAAATAGGCTGCTCCATGGATATTTTTGTTGGGCAAGGAAGAGAAAAATCCTTTTGTCCCACATATCTGAAGCTAATAACTAACAGCGGATGTAGCCGATAGGAACAACAAAAAATACACCTTGTCAAAAAAACGAAGCAAACAAAGCCCCACAACCTGATTTCAGCATGTTGCTGTGTATAAGCCAAACAGAACCTGGGCTTCAGAGACCTCTGGGCTGGAATCTGCTTAAGGGCACAGCAGGTACTGCCACGTCTGATGCTGTCTGCTGAGACACCCAGCATGACTGGCACAGATAGAGGGAGCGGTTTGGGAAAAAAGGCATTATAACCCACCATAGTGGGTTAAGAGATGGTGGCTTAAGACGTGGTTGCAGCAGCTGATGTGTTAATCACCAGCCATACAGCTACACTGAGAGTAGCTGGAGAGTAAAAAGGATGTCACACGAGTGAGAAATTGTTTATGACTTCCACTGAATTTCTGTTTACCCCTATGCACATGGGCAGTCGGGGCAGAGGGAGCAGGCACAACACCTCTACTTCGAAATCTGTGTGTGACTTCACCTGTAGAAAAATATACATGGCCTCATCTTCAGTTACAGTGGATGCACTAAATACCAGGTAATGAAGCATGAAACAAACCAAAGCACGAAACCAAACAAAAAAACAACAAACAAACAGATACACACCAAGTTTTTGGCAAATGTGGGCTTGGGATTTTATTTAAAACTGCATTCTTTGAGGGCAAGGACATTCCCCAGTATACACATTTACACCTGAATTGGGAGTGATCCCAGATCCAACCAGTTGTCCCTCCCTCCAGCTGACCAGGCTAAAGGTCTGGTGGGAAATATATACATACATACATGGAATCATAGACTATTTGGGTGGAAGTGACCTTCAAGATCATCTATTTCCAACCCCTCTGCCACAGTTAGGGACACCTTCCACTAGACCAGGTTGCTTCAAGGCCTCTCAAACCTGGCCTTGAACACTTCCAGGGATGGGACAGCCACAGCTCCCTTGGGCAACTTTTCCAGAGCCTCACTACCCTCATATTAAAGTGGATTCCAACAACGAGCACATACACTGCCCATCCCACCAGTAGCTGGGCTTAGACACACAGTCCACCCAGTAGCTGTCCCTGAATCCCTGCTCTCCCCAGTTGCCTCATGCACACACACATGTGCGAACAGGCCTCAGCTGACCTCCAGACTCCATTTCTAGTTCCAAAGTAAAACTGGAATGCAGTTAGGCCAAAACCAGTGGCCTTGGGCTTAATTACCAAAAAAACCCATGCCATCAGCAACACACTACATGTTCCCCAGGAGCAATCGAAAATAGGATGAGTTGATGTGTGAAACTGGTTCAATAAGCACAGCATACAACTTGACTCTGCCCTGTTCCCTTGAGGTAAAAAGCAAAGTTTATCAGCCAAGGGTGTTTTTTGGTGTTTGTGTGTGTTTTGTTTGTTTTAAAGTCTTTTCCTATTCTATTCGCAAAGTTGAGCAGAAAACGGTTTACAGAGGCAGTCCTGGCAAGTCTGTAATGAATTTGATGATGCAGAGATCAGTGTGTAATGTATTTACTCTGTAGCTTATTTATGCATACATTATAGGAAAAAAAAGCAATGACAAAATGTAAACATACAATTATATTTGTACAAGTGCAGAAGTGTTTACTTTCTGCATTAAACTGACATTAAAATGAGGGAATCAAGGCACTGAGACAATCCATGATGCAACATTGTTAAAAACCACCATACAATTCCAAAGGCAGCCTGGTTTCCTGTCATTTAAAACACGTTTATCTTCCTGCTTGAAAGGTCAGTGGAGAAAATGAAGATTTGGGCCACTACAGACAGCACTTTTGACAATAGCTTTTAATCAAAAGCATGGGTGAAACAAAATCTTCAGTTTTACAAAAGCATAGGAAATGCTAAATATTTAGCTCCATACATCCTGCAAATATCGTTTTGCTTCTCGAAGAGTGGCCAGGAACTTCATTGCTTCCAATTTGTCAGCCTCCATTTCCATGCTTAAAATGTCCACTACAGCATCACTTACACCATCAGCCATGTGCTTCTTATCTCTGAAAGAAAAAAAGGATATATACTAGGAAAATGCATAGTAGTGTATTTTTGGTTTTATCAGCAGCTTCAGAGGTGAGGCAAGATAATACTGGGAAAGAGGCATTAAAAAATCCAAACCAAAAATATAGCTTGCATATAGCACAGCAAAACTCTCACTGAGTTCTCACACAGCTGAGCACTGACAGCAACAAGGGTTTCTCTCAATCAAACATTACAAAGTTTTCAGCATATTGTAATTTGTAAGAAAAAATCCCTTGGAACCCTACTTGAAATGTCACAGAATAACTTTTCTTTTAGGGAGAACTTGACCTGCTGAAGTATTTTTTATTATTATATCACCATACAGTTCTAATATAACAAAACAAAAAAAACCCAAATTCCTTATTAATAATGGTATTTTTAATACACATTGCTCAAATTTATTCCTGCAGAAGAATCTAACACTGGGTTTCATAATCAAACGTTTTGATAATTTATCAACAAACTTCCTAAAAATTCCAAACCTTCAGGTAAGCTAGCAGCCACAAATAAAACTTCCAAATTAATTCTATTACTGAGATTTAGCATTCTGGCCCACCCAAGCCTGGAAGACTGCTGCTATCTCACAGCTGTGCAGTTCAGTCACATGTACTCAAATTTTCATATCTCATTTTCTCAAGAGAAATCTATTAGCTTGAAACCTCCTATTATTAAGAAATCAAAAAGAAATAATAAGTGACTAAAGCAACCATAGATCGGTGTGATTACAAGCTACACTTTCAAGACAGTATTGAAAAAAGTTATAAAATTCTAGCATTCCAGGGAGGCACTTTCAGTATCGTGTCCCGGGTTCAGCAGTAGCAGTGATTTTTCTCCTTCTTAGTAGCTGGTGCAGTGCTGTGGTTTTGTCTTTCAGCCTGGGAACAGCGCTGATAACACCGATGTTTTTAGTTGTTGCTAAGTCATGTTTACTCTGACCAAGGACTTTCTGAGTCTCATGCTCTGCCAGGGAGGAGGGGAAGCCGGGAGGAAACAGAGACAGGACACCTGCCCAAACTAGCCAAAGAGGTGTTCCATACCACAGCACGTCATGTCCAGGATGCAAACTGGGAGTTACCCAGAAGGGCTACTTCACTGTTCAGTCGGGCTGCATATTGACGGATGGTATCGTATTCTCTTCCCTTGTTATTTCCCTTATCATTATTATTATTGGTGGCGGCAGCAGTGGTTTGTGTTATACCTTAGTTACTGGACTGTTATCTCAACCCATGGGAGTTACATTCTTTTGATACTCCTCCCCATCCCTCCAGGAGTTGCAAGGGGGAGGAAGGAGGACAGTGAGAGAGTGGCTGCGTGGTTCTGGGTTGCCGGCTGGACTTAAACCACAACAGTTCTTTTTGGTGCCCAGCGTAGGGCACAAAGGGTTGTGATAACGACAGATCTGACTGGAGTGTGTGCAATCATATTTGTGACAAGCATTCATTGTTTCAGATTAACAGTCACTCGTCACAATGCTGATTTATTGGCTCTCAAAGTTGTCACTCTTGATCTCACAGTTTCAGCATGTTGTACCTTACTTACAGCTGGTATTTGCTGTGTTAGTGTTTATCAGCTGGGGGGCTTGGGCTAAGGTTGTTGTTTCACTGTACTTTATGGTAATGACTTGTGATACAGTAGAATCATTGATCATGAAACTGATCTGGCTTGTGTTCCCAGTGTGGTCACCACCTCTATACTTTGGGAGGTATATAACAGAAGTGTATAGCAATTACACATCTTTTTTCCCTTCCTCAGGTGGTCAGTCTATGAGGGAGACATTCCCACACACCCTAGTGACAAGTACAGCAGCTACTCAAACTCCGACTGCAGCAGACAGCGCAGCTACTCCAAGCACAGCAGCTACACCAGTCCCAGTGACTTGTATAGCAGTGTCATTTGAGAGTTCTGAAGGTTTTGAATGGCCTTTAGGTACCCTTGATGCCTGCTGATTGTGATGGGGATCAGCATGTTGGCACGCATACAGAGTGTGTTTTACCCACAGCCATTCTGTCTGATCTTGAAAGTTAAGCGGAGTCATGTTTGGGTCTTGTCTAGCATTAGATGGCGATATAGGAGGACCAAGAGATTTTCCCCACAGCTGGACACTCATGAGTAGCAGGGTGTGTGGGACAGTATGGGAGAGTATCTAGTCTGCTGGGCCCCACCAGTGCTTTGGAGGCATCAGAGATGGAAGGCAGCTGTATGGAGTCCCCAGTGACAAGTTGCAGAAACTGCTGAAGGAGAGGGTGAATTATTTTGAGCCTGGTGGGCCCATGACACTTCAGGCCATCAGGGCAGAGATGCAACATAGAGATGGACTCATGATCGAGTGGTGGACTTAACAATGGACACTATTGCCCAGGTTATTCATGAGTGTAAACACTGCACACAATCTCTCCTGCTCTGAAAGACTGTTACAAGAGATGGAGCCCAACATCATGGATTAGATGGACTCAGCATCTTCACAGGGATAGGTCCCTGCACTAAGGAATGATCTCTCTCTCTCTCTGTGGGTGTATATATATGTGTATATATATGAGTGATGGTATATTGAAAATGTGGGATCTGAGCATGACATGAATGGTATGGAATAAGGGGTGGATACGATCCTGGGTTTAGCAGTAGCAGTGATTTTTCTCCTTCTTAGTAGCTGGTGCAGTGCTGTGGTTTGGACTTTCAGCCTGGGAACAGCGCTGATAACACCAATGTTTTTAGTTCTAGCTAAGTCATGTTTAGTCTGACCAAGGACTTTGTGAGTCTCATGCTCTTGGCAGAGAGGAGGGGAAGCCGGGAGGAAGCAGAGACAGGACACCTGACTCAAACTAACCAAAGAGGTATCCCATACAACAGCACGTCATGCCCACTATATCAGCTGGGGGCAGTTACCCAGAAGGGGTGATCACTGCTCGGTCAGGCTAGGTCTCGGTCAGCGGGTGGTGAGCGGTTGTATTCCCTTCCCTTGTTATTTCCCTTATTATTATTATTGGTGGTAGCAGTAGTGGTTTGTGTTTGTCGTGGTTTAAACCCAGTCAGGTAACTCGTTCACTCACTTTCCCCCCTTTCTTGCCCTCCCCCTGCTCCCGGAGGGACGGAGAGGAGAATCGAAAAGAATGCAACTCCCACAGGTTGAGATAAGAACAGTTTAGTAACTAAGGTATAACACAGATCACTACTGCTACCACCAATGATAATAATGATAAAGGAAATAACAAGGGAAGAGAATACAACACCTCACCACCAGCCGACCGATAACTCGCCCCCCCAGCCCGACCAAGCTCTGACCGATACCTCCTCCAACCCTGCAGTCTCCCAGCCCTTCCGGCTAACTCCCAGTTACATCCTGGGCATGAAGTGCTGTGGTATGGAATACCTCTTTGGTCAGTTTGGGTCAGGTGTCCTGTCTCTGCTTCCTCCTGGCTTCCCCTCCTCCCTGGCAGAGCATGAGGCTCACAAAGTCCTTGGCCAAACCAAAACATCCTTGTTATCAGCTCTGTTCCCGAGCTGAAAGTCAAAACACTGCACTGCACCAACTACCAAGAAGGGGAAAAATGACTGCTACTGCTGAACCCAGGACAGTGTTATACCTTAGTTACTGGACTGTTCTTATCTCAACCTGTGGGAGTTACATTCTTTTGATTCTCCTCCCCATCCCTACGGGAGAGAGGGGAGGAAGGGCGGGGAGTGAGCGAGTGGCTGCATGGTTCAGGGTTGCCGACTGGGTTTAAACCACAACACATGTTGGTCCTTTTTTTCAGACACCACTAAGTCTTTGGAAAGCCTCAAAGTTCTGCCAACTCTGTTCTATTTCTGAGACAGTCCATCTCCACTCTGTACTTACCCACACACATAGAAGTAACCTCTCTCTTTCAGCAGGACTCTGGCAACTTCCTTAGCATGAAGCCTAATGACATCTTGCACATATTTAGGTGGGGCTACTTCTGCAGTTGAAGAAGAGTCTCTTGAGAAACAAACCTTAAGATGATTTAACGTGCCATTTTCCAGAAAACATCTGAGCTCATCTCTGAAAGGCAATAGCAACTATTAGTAACCGCTCAGAGATAAGCATTCCTCATGAATACAAAATGAATGCTAAATAGTGAACTTGCTTGAACAAATAGTCTCGGTTCTGATGCCGACAACCGAAAAACAGCCATGTCTCTCCAAATTCCCAGTCCATATGTTCCTCTCTGAGCTTTTGCCTAAACAGACCAAAAGAAAAAAAAAATAAAATCCAATCCTGTTTTATCAAGTGCAGAATCCAAAACATCTATAACCTAATTCTCATGTAAAGTAGTGCTTTAATAAACTTCTGAATTGGCAGAAATGTGAAATGACTTAAAGTAAATCACAGTCAAACCCTTCTTACTTACTTGATTTTCTTGACTACTCACTTTTGGCACAGCTCAAAATCAATCAGCTTCAAAGGGGGTGTTTTTTTGCCAGTTTCATAATGGAATACTCAAGACTGACACTTCCAAGCGCCTCGCAAAACAATCCTGACTGCTGAATAAGGAGATCACTACCCTTTATCTTTCACTGGAAAGGGAAAACTCAGCACAAAGCAGTTTTAGCATGCTTTCCATTTAGCTGTAGAAACCTGCTAGACTTTATGAATAACAATCTATTTACTACCACATCATCAGAAGAGTTATTGCATTTTCTTGAAATAATGCTGAAGGTATTACTTTAGAGGGGTTTTAGCTGCAACTTTCTAGTTACATTTTGAGAGAGACATTTCATTTCTCATTGATCAAATGCTTATGAAATGCTATGAATCCTTTAAAATAAAATGCAAAATTCTTCTGAGAGAAAAAGGTATATTTGGCAGCTAAAGTTAAGGAGTAAGGACATAATGATTGTACATAATGATTTGGTCAAAGTGGAAGCATGGAGTCAGAAACACTGTGTCCAAATTTTCTCTCAGCTAAAATGATTTAAAATTAATTGCTGCAGGATTCAAGAAACTCCATTATCTTGCTAGAAATAATGAGTCACATAGGAATCGTACGTGTTGGTTACCTACAAAACTTGCAACCATTCCCACTCAAATATTCCACTCTCCCTGTTCTTCATTTCCTCCAAATGAACATATTTTTACATATTCTTGTTGATGTGGTATCTGTCAATTTTTAAACAAGCATCTCCTTGCCTTGCAAAATTTCACTACTGGAATTGGAGGAAGGAAAAAAAGGGATCTACCTTCCCTTGAATATAAAATCCACAAAACCCAAGACCACTGCCCATTTGAGGGTTCATGTGCCAAGCTCCTCATCTTAAAACATCAATATATATAAACACAGAAATAAGGGAATATGGGAGAAACCTTAACATTCATCATGCCAAGGCTTTTAATACAGATGTCACTTCTGAATGAAATGGATTTTGAATACCAAACTTAATCCACAGTTTTAATCAACACTGTTTCTATAAGTACCAACATCTTACAGGACTTCCACTAGTAACACACAGATAACAGATTTAATTTCTTATAACCATTTCTGCAATCCACCCAATTCCTCATATATCTACTATGGATATCACACACTGTCAGATGAAAATGTAAGCTCTACTCATTTGAAAAACAAAATTACAAAAACACTGCTTGTTGAAAATTAGAAAGACAATTTATAATCAGAAAGAAAGAAAGAAAAAAAGAAAGAAAAAGGAAAGAAGGAGGGAGGGAGGGTAGGCGGGAGGGAGGGAGGGAGGAAAGGAAGGAAGAAGGAAGAAAAAGAAAAGGCTTTACTGTCTTCAACATAAGAAGGCTGCTTTCCAGATAACAACTGTGTACATACCTATGCTGTAGGAAACCAATAAATGGTGAAATTCCTGTTCCTGGACCAACCATCATGAGTGGGATAGATGGGTCTGCCGGTAAGTGGAAAGCATTGTTTGGACGAGCAAAAATAGATATCTAAAATGAAATTAGATAAAATACAACTGAAGAACATTCTTAAGAAGTGAAAATACCATGAAATTTTTAGAACCCTGAGGACATTTACATAGTGTATGTGTTGACACAACATTCCAAAACCCGAGCTTCAAAGTTTATCTTTAATGCCACGCAGACATTCAGAATAAAATTTCAGATGAGTTCATGGAAAAAATCCACATCATATTTACAAACCTATTAATCCATCTGGAGGAAAACTAGGGAAAACCACACAAACATAAGTTTCTGGTTATGAAAATTTTGGGGAATAATGTTACAGAATTCATGGAAAGTTTGGTGTTGGTACTGAAAGGGAAATAAAGCTAGTTTATTGCTATTATAAGGAACTCAATCTTTTTTTACACTGTGGACATCTAAAAATATTTCAGTGGAGGTGAGAATTTGCTTACAGCAAATTGAAGCCTACTGATACTGAGCTTGTCTTCTTAATTTCCGTAAGTTTTATATGATCTCCAAAAATGCATATGGGCGAGAGGAGGCAGATAACTGCTCAAAGACCTTGGAAAATGGTTTTTATCACTCCATTGAAAAACACTTAATTCCAATCTTCAGCTATGTCTGAAAGGAAATCTAAACATAATTGTCATAGGAGCTCCATAACTATTCTCTGAGGCATGGTTAACAATGTACAGAAAATGAGAGATGACTAGTTTTAATTTTTTAAAAGATGATCCAAGTCTCTGGTTTCATGATGATTAAAAATAATGGTATAATTATTGCCTGTGGGGGGCAATATTTGTATTTATGTTATATTTACTCCTCCAAAACACACTTAAGTTTGGAGGCTATTTTCCCTATTAATGATTCCAAACTGATCATTCCTTTAAAAAATACTGCAAACGGTAAACACATTTATACTACAGATAATTCTGAAATTTATTTGCTCATTTTGTAATAATCCTTTTTAACTCCACCTCTTTGTTGTGTTTGATCATTAATATACTGTAAATTAACTAATATTTTAAATAAAGAGCAGATGTGAATGCTGGAATAAGATATATGATACACACATTAATGAGTCTATCTTATAACTTAGCTTTAAAAAAAGGAAGATAACTTGCATGGGTTTTCCTTAAATTTTGTGAGACCTGCACCTTGAATTATTGGCACAGTTTTCTTGTAACCAAACACTATGCTAGTTTTCATTATTCTTAATCAAATATAAATTAGACTGGCAGTTTTTTCTGTGCTATTAATTATGTAGTAGAATTCCAAATTTTTAATAATTAGCTTACACCTAATAACTTTGAGCCTGATTATTTAGACAGATTCTCTGCCGCAAAAAGAATGGGGGGGGAGGGGGGAAGTACCTTCTCCTAATAATACCCATTATGTCAAACAATCTTTGATGCATATCAGAAATACTACATACAACTCTATCCTGTGTCATATTCAATAACTTGGCCTTTGCAAACTGTGTGAGACCTGACAAAAAAATGAGTTTTACAGTTTCTTTCCTATTATCTGCCACCCTTTCCTGGAAGTGACCAAGTACCTCTCTTCTACAACACTAATAGTCATAACCATTTACTTGCACAGTAGTAGTTTAGTCCACGAGAATATTCTCCATGACTCACTTAGGACTACAATGGGGTGGAAAACAACCCTAGTCTTTCAGCAGTGGGAAATTTCACAATTCAGGTATCCATGGATAAAGTAAAATATAAGTTTAGCAACTTAGCAATTAAGATCTAGACATATTACAGAGGGAAGGGTGAACTTACAAGTAGGATAGAACTGCAAAATGAAGATATATACTGCCAAAACATCTGCATTACACCAGAGCAGTGAACAAAATAACGGCAGTTGTTTCAAAAATGCATAAATTTAATGGTTAAGGAGTTTAGATCTAACATCCATACCTTTTTAGTTGAACAGCTTCCTCCATTTGTATCCACAGTGCTTCTGTTGGCATGCAGCTGAGTGGCAACTAACTCCGCAAGCCACCCTGTACATACTCCCCTCCGTGAGACTGGTCGAGTGGGACAGGCAGCGAACTCCACAATACTAAATACAAAACTCAGTTTCCCTGGCTGATACAAGTTTGAACTGGAAAGACAAAAGTATTAATAAATAAAATTAAAAAAAACACCAAAAAAAACACCAAAAAAACCACCCAAACACAGAAAAACCCCAAACCACAAACAAAATAACCCCTCAACCCAAACTCCACAATAACAACAAACAACCCTGAGAGATAGCTGTACAACCTTACAGCAGGTCAAACCACAGCAGTCCAAACCACATTAACTGAATCAAGATTCTCAGTATTCAGTGTGATATTTATCTATAGTTAGAAAAAGTCTTAATGTTGGACTCAGATGCCAGTACCTACAGAAGAGAATCAAATTCCTACCAGATTCACATGTGTGTGAGCTTGTTCTTAAAAACACCAACAAAGTCTTGCCAGACATTCAAAAACAATGCTGTCTGAAATAGTCAAACACCATGGGATTTTTTGCAACAGGTATACAATTACTTTATCATCAGGTTTTAGCCTTCGTTTCTCTCTTTCTTCTTTATAACATGCACACACATATCCGAGTAAAAAAAGCATACCTAAATTATCAAGGAGATACAACTTGAATATTTAATTACCTTGATGCTGAATAGGATCTGGCTTGTAATTTAGGAAGATGTTCTGAAAAATTTTAAAAAAGCAGCATCTCTTATTACTTGATTCTCCCAAATGCAAATATCATATAATAAGTGTTTACAGTGCAACACAATATAAGCACACTATAATTTAACTGTAATTTTACTCTATTAACATTCAGTGTTTGTGGTTCAGAAATAAGCTATTAAGACCTGAACTCTATTTTGAATGGTTTTTAAACTTCATGGAACATGTTAGAAAGCCTATAAAAATGAGGCCGCAATAGTTAATTAATGCGGTTCTTGGTCAATTAAAAACAACTGTAAGGTGCACAGAAGAGATGCCAGGAACTGGTGGACACAGTGAAGCTTGAAATTTAATTCTGCCCACTTTTCATCTATGAGCTCAAAAGCTATCAGAATAGGAATTGCTTCATTGAAAGTTTCCTATATAGAATGTCCTAGAAACAGATGTGCCAGTTCAATTTTAAACCACTGTGAGTACATAAGCAAATTTTTGAAATCACAGCTGAAAACCCAACAGAGACAGGATTTTATTTGACACTTTTTCAATGAGAAGTCCACTCTATATATCACACACCACATTTTTATCCACGTACACACACAGCAAAGGTCAAACTCACAGATGCCTTCAAAGGAATGACTTGCATGCAGACTGCAAATGGCTGAGGGTAAGGGTATATTGAAAGGAGACATATATCACTAAGTGAACAGTGTGGTGGGGACAGTAAGTGAGCAATACCAGAAAAAAATTGGCATAGCAAATGCCAGAAAACACAGTGGAGTAACAGGGTAACCTACAGTTTAACTGCTCTTTAGTTGGTTCTGTACATGTACCAACCCTTTACAGATGTTCTAACCAGTACATGGACACCCTGACATATTTTAAAGATGCTCTGCTACATAACATAGTTGCAAATCAGAGTGAAGAAAAGCTAGTTCAGTGAAATTACTTAAAGAGGACTTTAAGACCATTCAGCACATTACTTCCCTGGGGGAACACATTTCAAGAACTTGAAATATTTCCTTTTGTTCAGTTCAGTTGCTACAGCACATTCCATACCACCTCTGGAAAGCAAAGTTGTTTTGCTTTCACTGTGAAGATTCATGTGTTCGTATAAAGTGGAGCAGAGCTTGTATGTATTTTTTTTAATCCCCACACTGTACTAAGGAGAGATTTAGGGTAGGTGTGGAGAAGGCGACTGTAAGAAATAAAAAACCTTTTTTTTTTTTGTTTCATTTAATTCAACATGTCAAGAAATTCTGTGTTTTTTTCATCTGGAAAATAACTGTCATTATATTTAGATGTATTTGAGATGGTTACAGTTTGAATCTCATTCCTTCAATATTTTATATGAGGAATGCAATGAGTGTGTTGAACATTACATAAATACCAACACACTAGGAAAAGCTTTCTGTTTTAACAGGTAAAAGTGCAAGAAAAGAACATGTAGGCAGGGACATCGGGAGTTGTAGAAACATTTCTTTTTAATTGTAAGCAGTTGAACTGTTTCTTAAAGACGCTAGTCCTGCAAACACCTTATGCTTATTTTTTCTGTACAGGAGCAATCCAGAGTCAATTGAAGCATAGGTATGCACCCAACTGTTTCCAGAATGAAGGCCAAAGACTAAAAAGAGAAAAACAAGAGCTTTGCTCCCCAACAGCAGTTTTAGTTTAATCACTATGAATACTATAATATTTCTAAAGCAGTTAACTGAACAGTTATTCCACTTTCTTGGAAAATTGAACATTTAGTCAGATATATTTTCAGAAACTGAATCTAATTAAATCTAAATTGCTCACTTACCAATTAACACGTTAAGCGAAGGTTTGCAGCTTGGAAAAGCATGTAGTAAATCCAGCAAACAAACACTGGGATCTCTAATAAAGCGTGTGTAATCAGAGGCTCCTTGCCTGCTGCAAAGCTCTTGAAGCCTCCGTTTTTCTCCCACATCACTCGTACATTCTACAAGAGCTCGCAAAAATGCCTGGGGGGAAGAAAATGAGAGTAAAGGGTAAAAATACTTGTGCATTTGGGAAAATGGTAACAAACTGGGAAAAACTTGGGATGTCTGGGAACAGGAAACAGTACCTGCGACAGCAACATCAAAAGCTTACACTAATGGTCTATTTATAGTAGTTCAGAACGCAACATGTAAGTTTTATGGTTATGGCAATGTTTGTGTTCAACTGTCTTGCAACATCATGCGCAGATCTGATATAATCTCCAGTTCAAAATAAATAAGCCAAGACTGCAGCCTACTGGCCAGAAAGAGCAACAGAACTGGAAGGGAGGTCTTTTCTCATATAATTCCTCTACACCAACAAACTCAGGTTAGTGGATAACAACTTTCACCTACTATGAAAAATTTACAGGCTAGCAGGTCAGAAAAATCTTACTTAACCTGAGCAGGGAAGAGACAAATAAACAGTCACAACCTATTCCCTGAAAAAAAAAACCCAAATTTATGAAAGGCCCTCTTATTTATGTATTTGCACTTTAGTTACGTAAACAGCTCCATAATACAAATAAACTCAAGGCAAAACACCACTTGCTAAGTTACAGAAGCCAGGACAGGAATAAAAAAAAAGCCTTAGGAAAGGTATTACTGTAAATAAAGCATGGTATTTAATGAGTCATGTAAATATTGCTGTGGTGTTTTATTCCATATTTTATGCCTACATAATGGTATTGCAAGCTTTTCTTAAGTGAAAATTAAATTGAGCATTGCAAGATAAAGTAAAAATCAGATATAAAGTGTTACAGGTTTTTCTTCCAAAAGCAAGGTGGAAATAAACACAGTGCATAAAAGAAGAGTGATCCAAAACACCAAGTGCAATCAGATAACGTATTCTACACAAAAGAATACTTGGAAAGTAATTTGAGTATACTCAAACATTGAGCTTTCAGACAACAGTTTTGAGTACAAAGTTACATAAAGCAGATTGAACAAGTAATAAAACAGATTGTTATAAAAACTAGCCTGGGTTATATTCCCCAGCCAGCACTCTTTACCTATTCTTATTATCAAGACAAATTTTCAAAAATTGTTAAATGCAGTTTTAAAAAGGTTGAAACAATTGGAAGATTCTCTTCTCTTCTGCTGCAAAATCCACTAAATTGAGTGAAAAGGTTCTTCCAAAAACTGATTTTCCCCAGAGACCAAACCAACACAACTGTTTAGCTTTATCCTTCATCCAAAGTTATCTTTACAATGTGTTTTGACAGTATCAGAAATACACACGCATTTCCACTTACAAGCTTCTATTTTTTTGTAGGCACAGAATGAAAAAAAATAAGTCACACATCGTGAGAACAAATATTATACAAGCAAAAATATTTCTTCAAATTCTGCCAGGCTACTGAAATGCTAAAGAAAAGCTTTATAATAATTTAAAAGGCATTATGGTTTGTTTGCATAGAGCAACATGTGCATTTTCAGCAACAAAACTTGACAGATACAGCTCCCTCTGATTAGAAAGAATGATTTCTCTAAAACGCTTATGGGGCCAGCCTCAGTCAGCCCTTCAGTTATCTGACACCAAGCATCTAATACTCTTCTGTTCATGTTATGAATCAAGATACTGAAGAACAGGAATAGAGATTTCAGTATCTCCTAGTTTGCCAGATAAAGTACCAGAAGTGAAATTTCTCAGAATGAAGTACAAACAGTAGCATACAAACTGACAATCCTTATTCACCAAGAAACCTGGTAACTGCACATGAAGCAAGTACAGAGCTGTAAAAGCTCACACAGCATAGAATTACTAAGGATTTATCTTTAAGAAAACAAACACATAAACACCTTTTTGGGAGTTGCCCTTATTTCCAAACACCAGGTTAGAATGAATTTCAGAGTGCTTCTTTCAGGGATGTGCTGTGGACGAGATGCTCCTAGTTCAGGGGGAGAAAAACAAAATGTGCATCTATTAACATCCAAAAATGGCATCACAGAGTTCTTGTTCCTTCAAGAAACACAAGAGAGCTAAACTGCATTCAATTCTGTAGGTTTATGCCCCAGCCAGTTAGTAAAAATTATAAACTAAACAGCAAGACAGTTTACCAATGAAGTATCAATAATAATTTTCCAATGAAAAGTCAAAACCTACTGGGAAAGGGGAAAACAAAAGGAGGAGTACAATACATCACTGTTAGATAAATTTCACTGCTAAACCACTCAAGGCTTTCTTACTACTTTCTACCTTGAGGAAATTCAGAGGAAGGCTTACTAGAAAGGAACATCCACATTTTTTCCCCTCCATCAATAAGCACTCCTGAAAATTGGAACATGCTGAGGTTTTTGAATGACCTAACCAAAGGTGTATGCAGCCAGTTCCATGATGGAGCTTCTGAGGGTTCCAAGAACCCCAGCAGACCCAAGGGATTTCTGTACAAGCAAATAATCTGTCCTGTACCCTGAACAGGTTCTATTTCTGAGAAGGAGGTACACTGACATCCCATCTATCCCTGCATGGAATCAGCTAGGGTGCAGCTTGGTTTATCAGCCTCATGCCACGTCATGCTAAAGTGGCTATTCTAAATTAATCCCAAAACCAATCTAAGACCATTTATGTGACAAAACACCTTTAATTAATAAGCTCTGCAGGTTTGAAATTGCTGGCATTTCTCTACAATGTTTCTCAGATTTGACATCCAGCTACTGATTCTTACTGTGTTTTTTCCATGCTCAAGAGCCCTTTAATACTACAGAATTTTCACTCCAGGAATATACGTGTATAACTTGCTAAATTATCTCTTTGTATCAGCATTACTTGACTGTACCCTTGCTACAAAGAACTAATTTTACTTTCAGAAGAAGACTGGCATAAATATATGTCCTGGGTTCAGCAGTAGCAGTCATGTTTTTCCTTTGTGTTGAAAGGGATTATTGGAACATGCAGAAAAGAAGCATCCACTTTCACATTTATATAAACTTCTTTTCCTTGAACATGCAAATAGCATGTTACAAGAAGTACTTAATCCTCTTCCTATGATGCTCTTCAAATTCAAATCCAATATTTGAACAACAGACTTTGTACCAGACTGCAAATAATTTCTGTTTTGTCCTCTCAGCTGATCTCATCTACTTCATCAAAGAACTGACAGACTGAACAAAGAGATGTTGTGAACAAAATTCAGTGGAATTCCTGGTAAATCTTGAAGATATAGCCGTCACAGCCTGCAGTTCAGGCTCTTCTCCCAGGTTTTTCAGTTCTTCACATTCAGTAAACCCACAGCCATAATAGTTTGTAGTAACTGTTACAAATTCTTCAGAATCCTAATGCAGTTAAGAGACAAATCTCAAAAGGAAAGCAACACTAGAACATTGCTAGGAGTTGTGAAACTACATTATAGAGATGAATTCTTTGGTACAGAATGGCAAAAGTAATTAAGTTACAGTAACTTAATGAGTCTCCGCTCACCAGCAAAGCTCCAGGGGAATTAATTTCTGTTTGATCCTAAACCATTTAACTTCATAACTGCAGCACATGGAAGTCAGTGCATCCTCTCTTTTTTAACACATCTCTGTGACTTCCAACATGCCTGCCTGAAGTGACCGCTGCGTCCCAATACTAAAGATAAAACCATTCAAAACTATGTATAATAACTATGACTAACACAGGAGTATCTGTTCATGACCAGTGCATCACACCATACCTTTCTTTTTAGTGCCCTGCTTAACCTTTACACAAACAAAGTACTCTCCTTTTTCAGAAAGTTCCAAGATGCGAAGAAGTTCTTCTACCTCACTGACATTATTGGGACACATCACACAGAAGGCATCTCCTGGTTGGTAGTCAAAGACTGTATCCTGTTTTAAAATATAAGATAACTTCTATTAAGCTGTATCACAAACCAATACCAATAGCATTCCCATTCCTAACAACAATCTTCTCACTATTGCAGTCACATAAAGTCACACGTCCTTTGTACAAGCCCTTGCAGCACATGCTGGAGCACAAATACGCATGTTTTCTTTTCAGGTTTAAACTTACTAAATAGAAAAATCTTTCCTTATTTGGTTTAAATATTTAGACACTCTTCAATAAGAACTGCTGGGCAGGCTAAACAGAAGGAAAATAAATATGTATTAAGAGGATGTGTTATATAATCAGCCTAGTTTGCAGGTTCTTGTGTGCAACTGCTAAAAGCCTAGTCAAACTTCTGCCATTACAGGAGCATACAGAATTGCAATTGAATCATTATATTTCTCTTATGCACCAGAAAAAGTTTCCTGCATGCACAGACTGTTGAGAATGCTAGGGAAAAAAAGACCAAAATATTCAAATTTTCAGTGGGTGCTGATGACAGGATACATGTATACACACAAATAAATGCAAAACCCCATGTAATCTCAGAGACTCAGCTGTTCAAAACTCAACAGACTCTACTTATTACTGGGACTTAAAGATGACCTATGGATACTGACACAGATGAGGCTGAGTCCAATAAAAGTTACTGCCAAAATCACAAAATCCCAAAGGCATTATTCTCCAAATTTGGAAAAAAATCGCTCAAAGGCAACATATTCTCCTTTTAAAAGATTTCTTGTAAAGTAATATTGAGCATTCTCTGCCTTTCATCTTCAAACCAGTATACAAAATACTATCTTACCTGAATAACCTAAACCAGATTTTACACTTAAGGTAACAGAGATTGACAGTTTGACTAGTATGTTAACAAGTCAGAGCAAATGAATGCCAGAGGCAGAAGCAGTGCTCAAGAGCTAACGATTCTTATCACTTGATCATATTAATCAAATTATTACCTACTACAAGGAATAGTCACAATTTCCTACACAGTTCCTGAATATTCCCTGAATTCTATATTTATGAAAGATTATTAATTTTCAATATTCCCTGCCTGACATTCTTCCCTGTAAATTCTCTTCAAAAAGGTACTTCAATCAACACAATATCCATAGACCAACAAAGAAATTAACTTGACATTTTATTTCTGTTTTGACTTCCGCATAGTCATACCTTTCAGTGAATAAATCAAGCTTTGCATTTGCAAAATGGATCAGCTTAAGATGACATCCTGTTGTATAAGGAATTAGGGGTTTTAACTTTTCAGCAGTCTAGTAAATATATTTCCCCCAGCTATTATACATAACACACATGCTTTTCACCCTTTATTTTTACCCACTAAAGAAAAAGCCATCACAAACTTACTGCAATATCAAGTTCTAAGAGTAATGCTGTTTTTACTGCATCTTCTCTAGTGAGCTGGACTGCTTTTGTAACTGGCACTTCAAAGACTGTTCCCTCTGAAATCAGTGAGGACAAATGTGGATTCTGAAAAAAAGGACATGAAAACTTACACTAAAAATGAAATAGCTGAATTACATCTTATTATGACATACAGGAATTAATGTTGCCACTTTTTTTTTTTGTCACAATCTTAAAAAACAATTCAGAACAATAAGGAAAAACATGAATATTCCACATACATACTGTGTTTTGCTCTACCTCTCTAAAATTCATATCCAAGCAGTAACAGGCGTATATTCAATTATAAAATGTCAGTAGGCTTGAAAAGTGTAATGGGCCTAAACTGCTATAAAATGCAGCTTGCTGCTCCTTTTTCAAGAGTTGCTTTGAAAACAGCCAAATTAGAGAATGATATTTATGTTAAAATGCAGAGAACTCCCACCTACTTAAAGGATTAGTAGGTGTACACAACAGACCAAAGGAGTAAGAACAGAATTTATTTAAAAATATCATTGCAGATGTACAGTTTAAGACTTCAGGGAGTACGTGGGGCTATTATTATAGACAATTTATAAAAGGATTTTCTAAAACTGCAGCTAAGTTTAGAGGTAATCAGCAAACTCCACACTATGAAACAGCGTCATGTTATGCCGCATTTCTACAAAGGTGAAAATGTGCCCAAATGATTACAGATGGGCATCAAGAATAATCCCAGACCACCTCTGTCAAAGGCTGTCATCTGAAGATTAGACTACAGTCCTCATTTCTCCATCACTATTGTCAGCAAACTTCATCTGAGTTACAGACAAAAATGAAGAGGTAGAAGAGATACCAAATGTCCACAACAATACCCTCATATGAAAAGGAATTATTCTACCAATATGAGAGTATTTGTTAATTTGAAGGTTTCTTATTAACAAAAAAAGAAGGCAGGAAAATAACTTGAGACCAACAGCTGGAAGTTTTATTCTTTAAAAATTTGACATGGTGAATAGCAGCTTGGGCCATATCAAGTTATTGTGCATCAGCTGGACTGTGATTAACTGTCCACATTCATGTTCCCTCCAAGTCAAGTTCAAGGCACAATGAGAGAAAGATTTAAGCTAAATTGTATTAGCTTACACTTGCCATAAAGGCTTAAGATGCAGACCCCTACTGCTTGGCTACTAACAAGCAGTAGGTTGTTAATTCAGTCATGAGACTCAACTGCCCAGGACATAGACCATATAAGCTACTAAAGAGACCGTGTAAACAGCCTTCTTTAAATAGCATGGTATCTCTGCTTTGGGGGTTTTTCAAGCCAATTTCAGATGTACTTGGCAAAAAATACCCCCAGTTTTTGCAATGTGGGATACTGGAAAAGGACATGAACTGCTGTCATGGTTCAAACTCAGCTGGCAAACCAGAACTATGCAGACCCTCGCTCACTCCCCTCCCCCTTCCTCCCTGCGCTCCCAGAGGGATGGGGAGGAAAATCTAAAGAATGTAACTCCCACGGGTTAAGATAAGAACAGTCCAGTAACAAAGGTATAACACAAACCACTACTGCTACCATCAATAATAATAATGATAAGGGAAAAAACAAGGGAAGAGAATACAACCACTCACCACCCCCAACTGATACCCAACCCGAGCCCAGCAGTGATCTAGCCCTCTGGGGGAACTGCCCCCAGTGTATATACTGGGCATGACGTGCTGTGGTATGGAATACTCCTTTGGCTAGTTTAGGTCAGGTGTCCTGTCTCTGCTTCCTCCCAGGCAGAGCATGAGACTCAGAAAGTCCTTGGTCAGACTAAACATGACTTAGCTAGAACTAAAAACATTGGTGTCATCAGTGCTGTTCCCATGCTGAAAGTCAAAACCACAGCACTGCACCAGCTACTAAGAAAGAGGAAAATGACTGCTACTGCTGAACCCACGACAACTGTGTCATACTTGTAAAATCGTACTTGACCCTACATGGCACCTACTTGTTTAACAAGGTCTAGCCAGCTATGTCAAAAACGGTGCGAAAGGAAAACAAACCTCCATTTGATTCTTTCCAACACTGAAGACAACCATCCAGTTTTATACTGGAAATTTGGACTATAATCTTTAACCTGTACACTGAATTACAGATTAGTGGATTCAGCTTTTTCAATATGCTGCTTGAAAGCAATATTTACTTTTTTTTCTCTATTTATGAAGAAGTTAAGGCACTAATATTAGAACCTGATCACTTGCAATTCAAAAACCTCCTGTGTTCAGGGACGTATCTCCTTTATATAGGAATCCACTTGTTCTTTTGAGCCATATGTAGTAGTATATACACTCATGCTCTTACCAGAGCTGGAGGCTTCCCTCATTCAAAACCAAGTCCTTACCTCACCATGGGTGTCCTGAAACTGCACTTCTATATATTCTGGTGGCAAGGCAGGAATATTAAGAGCAGACTCAGAGATAGGAGGGACAGAATGAACAAGTGAAGCTTCAGTGTCTCTATTTGAATCCACAAGCCTGATGTCAACCAGTTTCTGTGAAAAAACATCAGAACTCTTCACTCCTTCATCTTCTAGCTTTAAGTTCTGTACTTCGGAGCTTAAGTTTAGTTCATGCACAACATGTGGGGCTGCAGAGAGAGAGTTCGAAACAGCATCAACAGCACTGTTCATGCCTTCTCTTTCTTTTTGCAATAGGAAAACTTCCTTGAGAGCATGCCAAAGTCCATCAATCCAAGGATCAACCACTAATTCCAAACTGGGAAGGAAGGAAGAAAAAAAAAAAAAAAGGAGAAAGGAATGGATGAATTATTGTGATTTACTGGAATGTTAATTTACAAGTAATGAAAATAACACAAAACCTAAAACCACAATTTTCAATTTTTAATATATCTCTGCAGCAGTTATCAAGATGACATTTTTATTAAAAACCTGTTTTTATTTAGTTGTTACAACTGTCTGAATTTATGGAGTCTAAAGTGTGTAACAGCCTCGATGTTCTAGTTTTTCATTTTTATTTTCTTATGCTGAACTTTATGACAGGAAGTTAAAGGGATGGTAGCAAAATATGCAACTTTTCATTGTGCGACAGCAACATCAAAAGCTTACACTAATGGTCTATTTATAGTAGTTCAGAACGCAACATGTAAGTTTTATGGTTATGGCAATGTTTGTGTTCAACTGTCTTGCAACATCATGCGCAGATCTGATATAATCTCCAGTTCAAAATAAATAAGCCAAGACTGCAGCCTACTGGCCAGAAAGAGCAACAGAACTGGAAGGGAGGTCTTTTCTCATATAATTCCTCTACACCAACAAACTCCCTACCCCCTTTTTTCATAATTCCTCTACAGTGATCAAAAATCAAACAAACAAGCCCCATCCCACCAAAAAAGAAAGGAAAAAAAAGGGGGGGGGGAATGTTTTATGGAAGAGACAGAGAAATTAAATAAATGCTGTAGGGTTTGCCTAAAGTAGCTCTACTTCAAGATGTGAGCTTGGATTAAAGTCTGATGTGTATACAGAAAGACATCCCACTACCAGTACCACACATTCTGGGAACTGCATTTATTTGCTTCAGTAAACAGACTACATTTTTAAATCCCTCTACTTATTCTGAATTACCTAATTTCTAGAACTGCTAAATACCCTCTGTTTTTCCAGGGAGTACACCTGTTCACCCACACTTTAAAAACTGAGTTTTATTTAATGGCAATTGAGATTGAAAAGACATACTGTGTTCAGACAGGACTTGCTCCTATGAGGTGCTGAATTTTCAGGTTCAGCTGATTTCAAAGAGTTCAGAACATTTAGCCAAATTCACATGTAATTATTGCATCTTGATGAAATAAAATCCAAACTCATTCAGTTCTTACCCTACACAATCATCTGCTAATCCTGTGTCGTAGAAGTGCTGGGCTCCAAGTTCTTGAAGTCGTCGGTCTACTGTCTTTCCACCATTACAGAAGAATGTATACTCTGAATCTCCCAGACCTAGCAAATTCAAGGAAAGAGAAATCATGTCAATCAGCCAGCCACCCAGGCTACACAGGCAAAAGAACTGAAGAAATACTGGAAAAATATTGGAAAAATATTTGAAAAATATTGGAACCTGAAAAAAATATCGGAACCTGAAAAAAATATCAAATATATAACTGATTTAAAACAGTATGAAATAAGAAATGTAGAAAAAGGGAATCTGGTCCAACATCCTCCTCCCCAGAAATCAGAGATTTCTTTTTAGATCTCATTTTCACTGCATTAGCTTTTCTGCCCTTTAACAATCATGAAGACGTTCTGTTAGAAGATGTTCTTTGTTATGAATTAAACAGTCTGTGCATCAGGAGGTATGTTCATGGAGGACCACTGACTCACCCTAAAAGTGATCAACCACACATACCTCATCCTTAACAGATGCTTATCTAACAATCCCAAAGACCACTGGTAGTCCTCACAAAGTCTGTAAGTAATTCAGAACAGCACTCTTTCACTGTCCTATCACAATTTTTCACAGCCTGACCCTTTCTTGTATGCAGTTTCAAACCACTAGATCCTTATTATTCCCACCCAACAATGGATGATTCTTTTCTTCTTTATAACAGCCTTTTTTTTTTCATTAAAAAATACTTCTGTTCCCTCTCAAGTACAGTACTTACAGCAAACATGTCATGGGATAAGATGAAATGGACACCATGAATGTATTTTAAGACTGGTCAACTTTTTAGACTAAAATCACAAAACACGTTGCAAGTTAGACCCTATAATATATGTTACAACAAAAATTAGTATTAATACAATGCTTATCTTTGTATATGCATGGGTATATACGCATTCAGTCAGCAAGGAAAAATCTTATAATTTCAAAAACTGTAATGTGTAACATAACAACCCCTCAAAATGTTACATGACTAGAATGCGTATATTTCAGACTTCCATATTATATATCCACTAGAAATTTCCTTCTACTGGGTAATTCCCTTGCTAGAAACCTAGAAGTTTTCTCACTTCAACCTATCTTGTCAAGCAAAAATAATCTAGGTTCAAATAGAAGTTTCTTAAAATACAACCTGAAAGCAACAAACTGAAGTTACCATCAACTCATGATATATCAGATGTATTTTGTCAAATCTGTATTTTGCACATTAGTCTAACCTGAAGGTACATTCCTCCTATTGACAAGTATGACAACATTTTTTAAATATATTGCAAATTTAAAGGGATGGGATGATTGTAAAATGTTATTTTTAAGGACATTTTATAATTTCTTTCCCTGTGTATAGAAAAATGCCCTATTATTAGCAAAATCAAGTAAACCCATCTAGTCCATAGACACTTGACATGAAATCAAACAATTCTAGATAGCTTGAGTCATGTTGTTTATACAAAGAAAATGAAACTATAAAAAATGAAACTGATAGCTTACATTCAGATAATTTCTGTGATGCTTTTTCTTTATTGCTCATAGAGAACATTACACACACAAAAAAACCAACCCTGTTCATATTATAAAAATAAATGTTTTATCAGCATTTAAAAAACCCCAAACAATCTATTCACAAGTAAAGAAATACAAAAATTATTCACTGACAGACAAGCGCTGCAATAACACACAAAGTACCAGATCACCTAGCAATCCATACTGGAGATGTGAGAAATGCTCAGGTGGCAATGTCGTGTCTTGAATTTTCTTTACAAGCTTGCGGGCGGTGTCTGGTGGGTCTCCAGTACCAGTAGTGGAAATAACAATAACTACTGGATCCTTTTCTGTTTCCAGGTTATACTACAAGTAATAGAACAAGTAAGTTACAAGGTGACATTTGATACCTATTTGCAGCCTTAGATATTACCTGTCACACTTTCTTTGCCCAAAGGTACACAGAAAAATGTTTAATCTCAACTGTATTAAACCACAGAAAGTCTTTCATGTAATTTTGGGGATACACTTTATAATTTCAGTGGTGTTTTCAAGACAAGATTGGGTAAAACCCTGAGGAATTTACTCTGGCCTCAGCTGACCCTGCTGTGAGATGACCTCATGAAGTCCCTTCCAACCTGAATTAACCTATGATCCCACACACAAACTCCAAAGGGCAGCATTTTGAGCAGGCTAGTCCACATGCAAAGAATATTTCACAACTGCACTCAGGCGGCTTAAATACATAATTCCTAGAGTATTTGCTTTGTCAAGTGGAAAAAGTATTTTTCTACATACAGTCACAATCACATAGTGAGCCATAATCGCAATAAATTCACACAAATAGTGGGGGTGTGGCCATACAAACTGAGGGGATAATTTCCAAATTCCATCAGGGATCATTTGGTTCTCTCTGATAACTTCCATATTACATCTGTCCTGGCCGTAAGAAAACCAAACCAAACCAAAACCAAAAGAAAACCCACGAACTACGCTTTGGGTGAACTAAAGTAGCTCTGAACAGAGCTACTTTGTTTAGACTGTGTTCTACAGTCTAATTCATTTTGGCCCTACTCCTCTGACCCAAATTCTTTTCTCTCCCCTTTGCTAATACCAATCTTCCACATTTCCCACAGTTTTACGGGAGCTTCTCCCACTATATCAGGTCAAGAACTGCCTATACTTGGGATTGTGTGACAGTTCCGTAAATTCAGGCCTTATGGAATCCTTTATTATTTCTCAAGTAAAAATCATTCTGTTTCTTTGATTATTCCATCTTTCAACGGATAACAGGCTGCAGCACTGAGCACTGTGCTAGCATGCTGTCTGTCAGGTCACCCATACAGCATGCTCTTTCACAGCACCTCTGCAGGCTATGGGTTTTAAATCAACAGCTAGTGACCTATGTGAAACACAGCTCCACAGAATTACAGACACCTTGTTTGGGAGTGACCTCTGGATGTCACCTAGTCCCACCCCATGCTCCAGAGGGACTAACTGCCAAAACTGCATTATGTCAGCTGTGACTGACTGAATTCCAAAAACTTCTAAAGGCAGAGATTTTACTTTACTGGCAGCCTTTTCCAACCAGAAATTCTCCACTCCTGTGAAATATGAGTTTATCAGGCTGCGCTCACTGGATTTTGTATCCTGTTATACAGTCTTCTGCTGCCAAGAAGAATTTGGCTCAAGCAGGCTGCTATTAGGTCACTCCTTATCCTCCTTTTTGCCATAATAAGTAACCTAGGCTCTTTTTACTGCTCCCTGTAGGTTTCAGTTTAAACTTTCTCCCAGTATTCCAAGTTTAAAAGTCCTGTTACGAGAAAATACAAATAAAGACTACAAGAGATACTATGCTTCATTTCAAGCAGAAGTCAAATGCAGAAGAAATGAAACGGAAGAACATAAGGAGAAACTTCACCTTCCCTACTGGGTGCATAAGTCTCTTCCTAACACTTCGCTCCATACTTAGTAAACATTAATTCAAAAGCAGATGTCCAGCTACCTACCATGCAGTGCACACCCAAGAAAGCAACTTGCTAAAAGGAAACTTAGTTTTATAAGCTTCTCACACTTTCAAGTGCATGAAAAAAAACAGGTGTTATTTTCTGCTCCTACAAAATACCAGACTATCAAGTTTTGTTTGGTTGTTTTGGGGTTTTTCTTTTAAATGTTTTTGTTTGAGGACATATACTTGAAAGTAATTTGTGAAGGAAATTACAGTCCATATTGCTTTAGCTACAGACAGATGCTAACAGTTTTCAGATCCTTATCCTTGGAAAATAGCAAATAATAAAAAGTCACATCCTTGCTTCAGCCAAGCTTTTAATTTTTTTCTAGAATATAACTTGCATGTATCCAGTGTGAGCTGGAGTGAGTGCATATGCTAAGTAACTCAAGAAGAGCCTAAAAAAGTTCAGGGTCCTGCTGGAGGTCAGTTAACAGAACACACGACCTCAATGCAACACAAAAACAAGAGGGTGAAAAAAAGGGGCATTTCTATGAACAGGAAAGCTGACCAGTAAAATACAGAATTTGTTTGCATACATAAATAGTTTTCAAGAACTCACTGTGCTGTTACTGAATGAGAGATCAAAGATATATCCATTTACTGTTCTAATAACAGAAATCACAATAAAGATGTACCTTTGGCAGAACGATATTAAATGTCTGTGAGTATTGGTCCAAATTAGTGATTCATAAGAAACTAAAAATTTAAAAACTGGATGGTATTTGAGGTGGGTGTATGTGAACAGCCTTCATGATTATCAACACCCACCACTCGAGCGCATGAAGAAAAATGCAGCTCTTAAATACCTTTCTTTCAAAACAGCATGGAGTATCTCACCTTGTCAATTTCACTCATACAGTGCATATCAGCTTCAAATCCATGGGCACCTGCCTGCTGCCATATTTCCTCAGCTATGGCTTTTGCCTGCCCCTTTTGTGTTGCATAGAGGAGCAAAAACCTCCTTTTTAAACCACAGCACATTTCCCAAAACAGAGTTGGTTTAGTTTTGTTTTTCTTTTAAAGACACTGTAGGAGAAAAAAAAGAAGGGGAAAAAGTTAATTTATTGCATGCAGAACAGCAAGACTTTGCTTTGCTTATTAAATTAAAAAGACATACTTTGAAGGATAGCAGTACCTGTGTTTAACTTGGAAATGAGGCATCTGCTCTGAAGAGGCACCATTTCTCATAACCAAGCTTTGCAGGCCAGGTTGCAAAGGACTCTGTACTGCCTCAATGTTACAGTCATATTATAATATCCCTCTACCAAGAATCTAGCTTGTAAACAATACAACAGAGAAACTAGTTTCATGAAAATATATACTATTTTTATTATGTAAGTTACATTTCCACTTCAAAATCTGTGATTGCTTTAGTTACCTTTCTGATATGTATTTGAAAATAAAACAACATACAGACCTGCTGAAATCAAACTACACTGCCTGAGAAAAAAAATTAAAATTCTCAGGTTCTTCCTTTCTTAAATCAGTGTTTTTTGCCTGAATGTGTTTATATTTCACTGCCCACAATGTCTGCACCTTACAATACAAACATGGGTTTTTGTTTCGTATTTCAAAAAGGAGCTTCTTCTATAAGTGGAACTACAGCATTGACTGCTTGGGCTTTTCTCTCCAAAAAATAAGAAAACATCTTAGAGAAATACGCTGTAGGGTACTCCTTCACAGCTTTATTTCATGATTTTGACACAGACAGAACATAACCGATCAAGGACAACTTCAAGAAGCGGTGAATGAAGAGAGACAAGCAGAATGTCTCTCATGCATATATTACAAAATAATCTTCTATTTTGTTGCTGCTAGAGAGCTGCAGTAGAACTCAAACCCCTAGAATTCCAACTAAGTAATTTTCAGTTCCAAACTTGAGATTTTTTTCATGCGTCCAGGCCCAGTTTGCTGTACTCCACCTACTGCTCCCACAAAGATTTAACTACAAAAAGCTTTCAGTGTCCAAATCACACCCAGTGATTTATGGAAACCTGTGGCAAAGTGATTTGAGGTATATATTTTTCTTGTTTCTTTCAAGGGAAAACAGGTGTGGTGAAACTAAGTGATATGTGCTTAAGAGTACAGTGCTTGCGCCATACATGAATTCCATGAAAGATGTAATTAACACAAAAATGTAAGGCTTTCATTGTATTTTGTTCTAGTACATTTTCCATTATAGTTTTCACTCTAAATTGATTACCTAAAAATATTAACAACCTTAACAGTTGTTTTAAGTAAATTCATTTAAATAACCAGCTTCATGCATATATATATATATGCACAGACAATGCATATGCTAAAACAATCCACAACCTTTTTCACTCTCCTTTTCCAAAAGAAATACAAAGAAATTTGATGACACACAAATTATGGTGATTCATATAAAATAATTTAAATACCCTCACATCCCTGTAGTAATACAGATTTATCCTAGTCATATGCTGTGTTTTCACTTCAATTGTTCTCTTGTCAGTAGGTGGCATTGCCTAACTATAGATGGAGAAAAGCAAAAGATGAAGTGGCCTGTCATTACTACATTATTTCTTACACCTCAGAAAGGGAGAAAGACAATCAATTTTCTACAGGGACCAAACCACAGCGCAGAAGCCTTCTATACACAAAAAGCTGAGGGGCAAGCTGCCAACATTACTGCAAGGGGATTACCAACAGACTTCAAACAAGAGTCAGCTTGGGAAAACATGTAACAGAAGCATGAGAATTTGCAATGGTAGGGGGAGAGGAGGGAGAGCAACAAAAAGAACAACAGTCATGATGTGGTCTGACACGGCTAGATGTTGCCCTGATAGTGCTATGACCTCTGCGTAGGCCAGGCAGAGCATTCCCTCACATAAGACACTGTGAGCTGCTTCCACTCCAGCTAGTACAGTAACAATAAATGGTGCAAAAACCAACTACCCACATCTTGGGTGCATGATGTGAACTTGTGGGGAGCTTTCTCATTGGTGTGGAGCCTAGCTGGTTGCATAGAGACACAAAAATTAGAGCAACCACACCTCCCACAGAAGGTGTGTGTAAACAAGAGAACCCACACGGCCAGAAGAGGGGGTCATGCTTGAGATGTGCTCCTCCTGAGAGAGGAGACTGCGTGTATGTAACAGTGAGGGGGCAGGCCGCAATTAGAAAAATCCTTAGAATTAGATAAAGAAGGGTGTTTAAATATTTGTAGGCATTTCTTAACATTAAGTGCCTAGTATCATATCTGTTCCACTGTTGTTATTGATCTTGAATATATAGTTCAATCAACTGATTAAACAGCAGTTAAATTAACTTCCTGGCAGTTAATTACATCACCAATAGATCAATAAACCGCTTTGATCCTGATATGATCTAAACTACACAAGTTGGGGAGTTTCTGTTAGAGCATCTTCTGTCATCAACCAGAAAAGCTTCATGCACAAACTGATCAAGTGATGCCTGCTAGAAGAAAGGAAAATTAGTCATGCCTACCTGCAGATGATTACAACTGAAAAGGAGGAGCACACTTGCACTCAGACGAATGTACTGCCCACATTGCTCTTGCTTTGCTCCACTCTTCAAAGATGATATGCCACTTCCACTTATGTGACAGAAGTTCAACTGAAATAAAGAGGGGTGAAAATGGTTAATTCCCAACTATCAAGCTTTCTAGAGAATCTCTCTAGCTTCAAAAGTATTACCACATGAGTGGCCTTTAACATGGTGATGTGTTGGCACTTGGATGTGAAAGAAACCCAAACCAATGTTTAGGCTATGAAAACAACCCAGGATTTGCTGGCTCAAACCAAGGCTTAACACGAAACTAAAGATGAAATTCCAAATGATAGCTTGCCTGATCCAGTACTCAGAAGTCAGAAAACTGAAAGTCTGCAAAAGATTAGCAGGGATTCCATCAGCTCCATAAGTCAATACAATGTACGAGCAAACAAGCCACACAGTTTCACTGAACCAGATGTGCTGGCCCTAGCAATTACACAGCTGTACTGTAAAACTCAACTACCTACTTCATGTACCTGATCTGCCAAAAAATGTCAAACGGCATGGCCACAGAGTAAAAACACAAAAAAACTTCTCCACTAGCTTTACATACTTCTGCACGGCTTCAAACCGGGTTGTGGGACCACACCTTCAGAGCCATGAAGCTATTCCCTTATCGTTTTATTAAGTTAGTGACTTGCTCAAATCACTTTCACTCTACAACCAAGACAAACATAAAAACCCCACAAGACCTTCCACGTAACCCGCATGTGAAACCCTCCGCGACCCAGGGCTGACCTTCCACCCAGAAAAATTTGGGTGTACCAACCCTCTACGCAGGCGGAAAGCTGTCTCTGAAGGACAGCGATTTCCGTGAATTAAAAGCCAGCTGCACACCGCCGGCGGCAGCAGCAGCAACAGCCTCCCCAGAGAGCAGGTGCCTCCATCCGTCTTGGGGCGGGCCAAGTTGTGGCGGTGCACCTCGCCTGCCTCCCGGCGGCCCCCCACACTGCCCACCCGCCAGCCCGCGGGGAACGGGAGAACTTGCACTGAAGGGCGCGCTTGTGATCCACAGGCACAAATCCGACTCCGCAGCCACGCCAGAGCTCCAGCGGCAGCGAGGAAGCAAACGCGGCGGACACGGGTAATGAGGGGCGGGGAGAGTTCCCTGGGAGAAAGCGGCGGCTGCCGGCGCCGGGACGTAGCCGCCGGGAGAGCGCCGGAAGCTCCCGGCAACCCCGGCGCTGCCCGTCATGGCGGCGGAGGTGAGGCGCGCCGCTCTCCCGTGGCTCGGCCACCGGCACTGCCGGATGCCCGCTGCGGCGGAGGGGGTAGGAGGGTGGATAGAGAGCGACGACCCGAGACTGACCCCGACCCCGGCCCCCGCCCGGCAGCAGTAGGCACTGGGGTGGGAGGGAGGCACCTCCACCCTGTCGGCGGGGGAGGGTTGGGACGGAGCGGCTGTGCTTGTCCCGTTCAGATATCGCCCTCCGGCTGCGAGCCCTGCTGGGCCCGCTCCCGCCGTGGGTACCGGCGGTGTGCCCCTCTGCTGCCCGGGCTCCGAGGGTAAAGAGATCGGTTCTGGCGCTGTGCGGTTCCTGGATAGCCGACTGTGTCGCACACGGGCCACATGTGGTGTCCTAACCTAGGAGACACGGGGCAGAGATGCCCTGCAACCTGTCACTCAGGTCTCGCTCCCGGTAGTTTCGTCTTCTCTTTGCATTGCCTTATGCACGTGGTCGTGGGAGAGGGATCTTGCCGGATGTGTCCAGCCACTAAACGTTGCGTGTTTTGTGTTTATTTTTTTTTTTTTGCTATATTTTAATGGCATCGGTGCTGTTTTCCAAACTGTATTTTTCTTCCTCTAGGTATCTTTTGAGACCCCACTTGATACGCTATGGCTTTGATTAGCCGAAAAAGTTTCCAGTTTTATTCATCCAGCGCACCAGCAAGGGGGTCCATTTTGATGACCCTAAGCAAAAGGTTGAGCTTTATCAGTGGGCAGCGAAAGCCCCAAAGCTGTAGCTCCGTAGCCATGAGGATGCTATGTTTCAAAGATAAATCTCAGTATATGTTTTGTAGAAAAAATCATGTACAACTGCGGATACAGTCTCTTTCTGTTAATGAAACTGTGCATCTTTGTGGAGATACTGGGAGCAGTACTAAACCTAATAATGTGTGGATGGATGAACAGCATTTTTTCCAAAATTTGAACAGCCTTTCTACATCAAAAGAGATTTTTGACTTTCTCAGCTCTGTGGAAATCATGTCTGATACTATGGCATCAGGAGCCCTGCAGAGGATTTCTGAAGTTGAGATGGATGACAATGGTCTGAAAAACCCTGAAGTAGTGTTAGAGAATGAAGTTTTCAGGGCATTATGCTTCCAGTTTGAATTTGAATCCTCAAAGCTGTCAAACACTGGGCTGCTGAATGCATTGCAGGCTTTGATAAAACTGCGTATAGATCCACGGAGTATGCTGATGGTAAGCTTGCTTTCAGAGGCTGAGGAACGGCTTGGCAAAGGGCTGTTCACTGTTAAAAATCTCTGTGTTCTTGGGGAGAGTTTGCTTGAGTTGGAAGGCCCAAGTTGTGTGACACTGGAACAAATTGTGAACCACATGCAAGAAAAAGACATGGAGATGTGGACTCCTCTGGAAATAGTGATGGTTTATAAGATGCTGGAGGGGACTGTTGGGGAAGGGAAACAATACCAAGACTTGCTGAACAGGCTGAACAGTGTCACTTTAACCATAGTTTCCCAGCTAAGCCCAAAGTTTACAAGCATTATACTGAATTCACTGGTGGTCCTTCATCAGACTCAGGCAGTTCCCTTAGTCACAGCACTGTGTAGGCATTCTGTGAAGCATATTCCATATTTCACAGGTGATGAACTGGTAAATGTACTGGAAGCCTTCCTATACTTTGGACATCGTGAACAAACTTTTACAGTGGCACTGGAAGCACATGTTCCCGAGTCCATCATTAACATGCAGCCTCAAACAGTCAGCAAAGTCATGAAGTACTGCTCCCAAAAGAGGATCCTTTCTAAGCCCATTTTTGATGCAGTGGCAGAAGATTTCATTTCTGATGCTGACAGATTTACCACTGACCAGATTGCTGAGTGTATTATGCCATTTGGGACATTAAACTATCTGCCTCCAAGTGCTTCTTCCTTGTTCAGGAAGCTTGAAACCGTACTGCATGCCCGCCTTCGTCACTTTCAGCCTCACACCTTGCTGAACTTGCTGCACTCGTGTGTCCTTATTCAACGTTATCCACTAAATTTTCTGCCAAAAATATTTAGTCCCTATTTTCTGCAACAGCTTCAAGGTAAGAAGTAGTGTTTCTCTTGTGATGCTGTTCTGCATTTCTTACTGCTGCATGGTGTGTTTCTTGTCAAACACACATTTCTTACCACTGCCATCTGTCAAATCAACAATGACCTGGTTGAAGTGAATGGAGAGTAGCGAGCAGGAGTCTAGAGAACGTTGTGGGGTACGTTTTGTGTGGTAAGGTAGAACCAAGTATGGACTTCTGCTGTCATCTCCACTTCTTTCAGAATAAGAATTATTGTGTTACATTCTTCCAACTTGGTGTATTTCTCTTTTGTGTTGTTATCACAGTCAACTTGTGATATATGAAAGGGGTAAATGGATAAAGCTGAAAAAATTGATTTGCAGAGCATAATTGTTGGCTTAATTAAATCCGAAGTGAGATCTGAACCAGTAAAACGTAACAGCATCATAAATGTGAGCAGTTAAGGATTGGCTGGTATTTTTTTTTATTATCTGGGTAAAATTGTAAATTGAATTCTAAGGCTCACATATGTTTTAACAGGCATAAAATTGGTGCTTCTTCCTGATTTTTAAATTACTTTTAATCTAGAATCTGATATGGTGATGTGATGCTTTTTTCCACTGGCATCCTGTCTGCAACTGCACTCCCCTTATGGAGGCTTTGTGTGCCCATCTTTGTTCCATGCCCTGAGCTCCTTTCTTTTCTATCTCTGAACAAGAACTACAGCCCTGTCCTTCGCCCTGTGTCTTAAGATACTGAGGAAAACATCATGACATTTAAAAATCTCTCCCATGATTTATCCCCATCTTGCTTAGGAGATCTCAGAGTCTGCTCACTTGGTGCTTCTAAGACTGTCTTGTCTGCAAGGGCTGCCTTCACCTAATTGTGTTTTTTCCCCAGTCTAGTAAGCTGCTAGAACAGCCCCCATACGATTTTGTGTAAAAATACTTTGTAGAAGGTACACCTGAAAGCCTCAATATTGTTCTTTCAGCTCAGCCACCTGGTTTGGACAGAACTGTTACCACCCAGCTAACCCAGCTTTTTCTGACTGTTACCCTGGAGTGCCCATTTTATGAGGTAATGATACATACGAAACCAGAGCAGATGTTAACAAACTAATTTGATAATGAGCTGAAGAGAGTCTTCTGCATAAAAAACATAGGAATTGGATGAAACAGTTGGGTTTTTTTTTCTTTGATGAAAATATGAAGCATTTCTACCTGTTTGATTGACTTGATACATTCGTATCAATATTTGTGTGTTTGACAGAACTGACTAGTTCAGTTAAAGAGTTAAAGTACCTTTTTGTGTATTTCAAGTATTTTTCCAACAACTATTTTTTTTTTTTTTTTTTTTTTTATGTTTGGCTTGGGAAGTTGTGGAACACAGAAGGGATTAGGCACTTAGATGTTAGCCTGACTGCAGAGAACGAGTTGTGCATTTCTCATAAGTGATATGTTCAGTGTGGTAGCATGGAAGCCTGTTGAGGATGTGCTGGTGGTTGTTCTGAGTTGTTCTGTTGCTTAAGTTTCCAGCAGATCATGCCTTGGATGGTAAGTCTGTCTCACTAGACGTGGCTTGGAAATGCACAGAATACATTTTGCTACATTAATATGAGGTAACTACAAAAAATGTTATCTCCTCATTTATTTTGTTTGATTTGGTTTTCTGTCATTATGTAGGGTCCCAAACTCCTTCCAAAGTATCAAGTAAAGGCCTTTCTCACATCTGACAGTTCTGTTGATGTTCACCTCCTCAAAAGGGTGAAGGCTGGTTTACTTTATTTGCTGAAAAAAAGAATGTATTTTTCATCAGAGGTATCAACACCATATTTCTATACACTTGGTAAGTATAATTTCTTTAGATTTATAATAAAATTTGTGCTTACATTGTCTAATCTTTAGGCTCAGTTATTTTCCGGAAATAAAAATTACTTCTTTTATTCCTTTTCTGGGAATTCTAAATTGTGCAAATACAGAAAAAGAAAACTGGAATACAAAACTCTGTAGAAGGTCTGCAATAACGAAATATGGGAACTTCAAGGAAATGCATTTTCAAAGTCAGGAAGAGGACAGGGAGAGAAAAGAAATGCAATGTTACTTGGAATTTAGCCAGTCTGCACTGAAAATAGCTGCTAACTCTTGTATTTTATTATCAGCTCCTCTTTTACTTACCTTGTATGCAATTAGTGTCATTTAACTACATTATGGGTTTTAGTGAACTTGGAATACTGTTTTGCTGTTAGCGTTATGAAAGGCTGAGTGAAGTGTTACCATCTGTATTAAATAGCCTATACATACCTTTTGCAAGCTTTTGTGATTCAGAAAAATTATTGCAATGAGCTGTAAGAAGATGAGAATTACAGTAAAGTTTGTTATATGAAGTTTCGATGTCACTTCTCTTTTCATTCATACTAGATATTGAGATTAAATTAGATGAAGAAGGTTTTGTATTGCCTGCTGCCCAATGTGAAGAAGTACACAAACGGTAAGAGAAGCAAATAAACCACTGGTAAAATGTTAGTTAACACTAACAAAGAGCATCCAGGTTAAAACCCTGGCAAAATTTAAGCTAATTGGAGTTTTGCTATTGACCTCTAACAAAGTTCAGGTTTCACACTGAAACCACTGACAAAAGGACAAAGTTGGCAAAATTAATGATCTGTACTTTTTTGTCACTGTTTTGTCTCCTGACTGTAGGGTGTCAGACTATCTCTTTACCCAGTGATAGTCAGGATCAAAGTGTAGTAATAGTAATGTATTTTGATGTTCTGTAATTAATTTTCAAAGTAAAACCAAATTAATTCTAATTGATCATGTGTGCCTAGATTTAACACATTTTAAGCCAGTTTGAGTTCACAAATTTACTTATGTAAGGAATCCTGTGTAATGAAGATAATTGCCACAGATGCTGTTTATAATTGGAAAACGCACAAGTGTTTAAAAATGCTTTAAACAAGGATTGTTTTGACAAACCTCAGATACAAAGTTAAGCAACCTGCCTGTGTCATATCTGCAACAGCACTTATGTGGATTAAGAAAAAGTCTTTGGAAAGCTTATGTTTTCTTCAGCTGAACCTTCCCAAGACATACAGACTAACATAGGTTCTTTCCAAAATCCCATGTTTAAATGTTTAAGAACGGGCTTTGATCTTTTTCCTTTTTAAATTACAGCTTTCATGTGTAAATAAGGTCACAATATACTTAACACACTGAAAATTTGAGCAACTTTTTTACAGTGGATATACAAATTTTGATTTAAGTTGATGTGATTTTTATCACCAAGAAAAAATATAATCCATGATGCTGCCATCTATCCATACAGGTTTAACTTGAACAGATTTATCTTAAACTTAACTTGAACTCCCAACAGATTTAACAGGTACACTAATAAGTTGAATAAATATAACTGCTGAAATGTTTTCAAGCTGAGACAAGTAGTCCGTTTGCTTTTCCTTCTAGAAGAATTCAAAACAGTTTACCAATACTTATTTTTGTTCACAGCATATAAATAAGCTTTTCAGATCAGTTTCACTAAGCTTTCAGGCTTTACCTCTCCCACTGTTCAGGTGATTTTAATCATCCTGAACTAGGTAACTCCCATCCTACAGCACCTAATTCTAGTGATGTTAGGTAGTAAGAGTGGAGGCATTGTTTCCTGGTTCTTAGGAACTACAGTAGTTGTGGTTATTAAAATAACCAAGTTTGTTTTTTTTTTTTGTTTGGGTTGGTTGGGTTTTGGGTTTTGGTTTGTTTAGGTTTTTTTTTTTTTTAATACTACTCTTGTGCTTGATTGTAGAATTGCCCTCTGTGTTGATGGTCAAAATAGATTTTGCATTAATAGCCACAATCTGTTGGGAGAAGAAGCCATCAAACAGAGACATCTTCAGTTGCTTGGTTATGAAGTTGTGCAGGTAAAGTCCAAAGACAGCGGTTTGCTAACAAAACAAGTGAAAAATGATTATATTATAATGCTTAAAACTGTAGTTGCAATTACTTACCAAGGCAGATATAGTCTTGTCCTTTCTGTATTGTTTTCTCTCTGCCTAGATTTGCCTTTTGGAGGGTGTTACAAAAATTCCTTTTTCTTCCTTGGATCAGTTACTGTATTCTAACTGATTAAGGTCCAAATCTTGACTTAATGGAAAATGTTATCTAAGAGCTCAGTAGAATTGGAATTATGAATTAAATAGTTTTTTAGAAAGGTCTGAATTCAGAGTTTAAAAAGCATTAAAAAAAAAACCCCAACTGCTTGTATTGTAAATAATGTTTTCACAATATAGTATATCCTTTATTTTGCCTGTTGAATTAATAGTTTTTTTAATACATACTTTGGACCAAAACAGTTACTTTTAGATTTTTGAGGTTTTCTTTTCCATTTATAATCAGTTATCTATTATATTTAACTTACACTCTAGCGGGTATCACTCTTTATTTTTCAGTAATCTTTATTCACGTGATTTAAAGACCAGTAATATTATTGGGCTTAAATGTTTAATTTTAAAACAGATAAATCTTTGATGGGTGATTTTACATCTGTTTAACGAACATCAGTCTTATCCAGTTGTTTATTAAATGTATTTCCAGCAATCTTTTTTTTTTTTTTTGTTTCCAGATTCCATTTTTTGAGATAGAGAGTCTACAAAATTGCAGAAAAATGGCAGAATATCTACACAAAAAAATCTTTTCTCATACATATGGACTCAGCTGCTGAGGCTGGAGAATAATACTAAATCACAGGTTGGCCTCCTCTGCTGTAGATACTGTAAATATTGTGCATGAAGAACAGTTCTGTTTTCTAAAATAACTCCACCTAAGGTAATTTGAGCTTCTGAATATGAGACCTCCCAATAAGTGGAACAGTTGATATGTAAAGAGCAATAAAGAGCCACGTATTTTCTTAAGTTTAGTGTAAATATTTATTATAAGCTAACAGATATAAGTGCCAGTCAGTGCTGTGTTTCCTTTGTATCATCACTGGTTCTCACAACTGCAGATGGACAAATCAGGGATACTGGCTGGTCTGAATGTACCTAGTGTGCCATGCTACCTACCAGTCAGGGCTTTTCTTAACAGTATAAAAAGAAACTGTGCAATTTGCTTATAGCCATTTTGTGTGACTTCCCCAGTCCTTCATAAACCCAGAATTTGCAGTAGTTGCACAAACAATATTGGCTTATTGCTCATGTTTAAAGAGATTCAGACAGCTGTTCACTAAATAGCAATGCCGTATAGAAAATGAGAGTTTTTATTAAAGATTCACGTTACTTTGTAAAAGAAGGCTGCCACAGGATAGTGGACTTGCACAGCTGTCTCTGTGAGGGCCATCTGAAGTTCTTAACACATACTATTTGTAGTTTTGTCTTTGGTGGCAGTTTTAGCTAAACTGTCTAAGTGGGGTATTGTATATGCTCCAGAGTTCCTTCAGTTTACAGTCTGGCGTTCAAACCTAAACTGAAACACACTCTGGAGCTCAAAACAGCTATGTCCCATGCAGTCCTTTTGTTTGTATGAGTGTTAATTCTGGCAGATGGGTAGAACTGAGAACTGGAATCAGTAACCATGTCAGCTGGAACAAGGGTTCCCTAACTTGGGTCAGCATGTTTCTTTACAGACGGATGAAAGGAAAATAACATAACCTTACTCCCGATTGCATAAAGTATACTTGATGAGCTGCCATGTAAATACATTTTCATGTTGGCTTGTGCATCCTGTCCTGTGTGGAATTATTTGTAAGTAGCAAAGCAGAATTCCCAGCATCACTTGGTTTGATTTTGTTAGGATTTGATACAAAAAAGGTGAAACTTGTACATCCTTAAAGTTCTGTGTTTCACCAGTAGATACGGAACGTGGCTATTTTTTCTTTTTAAGGCTACTGTTTTGTGAGCTGTGGGTGTCCCAACAATCCCTGGAGATTTTTTTTATGCAAAAAACAGATCCAAAATATGTTTACATTGTGTCATGCTGTGCAGTCTGTTCATGTTAATTTGTTGCATGTATAAAACCCTTATAGTGAGTAGTACTTCAGCACCAACAGGTGAGGCAGCATAAAGAGGTAACGAGATACTTTCCAACAGTACAGCGGCAAGCTTACAGCACATCGGTAATCTAGAAGTTGTCATGCTGGTGAAACAAACTGAAGAAGGATTGAAATGTCCTTACAGACATTTATAAAGAACTCCTCCCTAATATGGAAGAAATCATGGTACTTTTTTGACACAGAACTGAAGGGAAAAGTCAACCACAAAGCTGAACGAGAAACAAGTAGTAGGTGGAACAACTTGTGAAAAGTTCAGAAGTGAGGAGGGATGAGAAGGGACTGAAAGAGAAGGGGGGTGACATAAGCAAAGAAATGAGATAGGAAAACTCATACTGGTGTTTTGATGAATTACAACTTTCGTCACAGTGGAAATGAGCCGGAGATGCCTATTTCTCACATAGGCCAGAAGGTGGCGGTGTTCCCAAACAAATTTGATTTCCAGGAGTTTTTCAAACGCAGATGGTTTGTAAATATAGTAAGACTAATTAAAACAAGTAATTTGTACTGATTGTCCCAAACTAAAAATAACCTGCCTAGAATAGGGCTGTATTCCAGCTCATTCTTCTCTGGTATACATCTGATACTGATTTTTGAGAAAGCATTCTGGTATTGTTAGAAAACATTTCCTTCTCACTTTGTTCTTACTGTGATTCATTTAATGCTACTGGATTTGTTTAACGAAGTATTTATTGTTGTAAAGGAATGTAGCAGTTACTGCTTTCTTGTCCTTAGTTCGTTGAATATAGAGGAACTTCGTGGTCATGCTCTCATTATGAGAGTAACAAACATCTCTCAGAGTGGGCTGCCCTGTGTGCTCTGCTTTTCACATCATGCCAAACAAGTGCTATTGATTGCCTACTTATCCATGCCTCAGATTAAGAAGTTATTTGGTTTTATTATTTTTCACTAAGGGATTCACTGTGTTCACAAATGATCCAGGTTCCCTCTGTGTAACTACCTGACAGAACTCCAGTGTCAGTTAGAGCTGTGGACTTCCAGTCCTTGTTCTGGTATAATCAGCCTGGCTGTTGTTGAACAATACTGCCTCAGCTTTAAAGAGCAACAGGATCAATGGCTCTTGAGAACCAAACTGATGCATACCCTGTAGGACATATTCATTCTCCTGAAATTACCTTAAAACATTAGTGCTGGATTCAGTGAGAATACAAGCCACTAAATGTTTAAGCAGGGTTAGACATTTATTCTTAAACATGTTTTTTAAATGACGACTGCTCAAATCCTTATGTTTTTTCCATTCTTTCTACTAAACTATTTAGGGCTTGCTCTGCCAGTATTACTCTTTGGTGGTGTTTATTTATTTTTTTTTAGCACTGGATACAGAACCAGAGATGATTTTTCTTCTGATACTTTTGAACAGGTCAGATCCATCAGACACCATTTGTATAGTGAAAGTCAGCAAAATGGATGCCGGAAATCTGCAAAACCCAGATTTTGTCTATTTAAATCTAAATACACAGAAGTTCCCTTTACTTGGTCATCCACATGAAGTCTACTGAAACTGCTAAGCACTTGTGGAAGTCAGATAATTTCTTTACTTGTCTTTTTACGGGTCAGCCCACCCTTTGCGGAAAATCTGGGTTGAATCCACATTCAGCTGTTAGGCAGATAAAATGGCACCTGGCAATTCTGTAACAACACTGTAAGGACTAAGAAGTCAGTGACAGCTGATTCCTTGAGGACCAATCTTGCTTAAATATTAAGTCTGTGTATAATTATGTAGAAGCACTGCCTAAAATTGCAGAGAGACAGCTGTCTTCTAGGTCCTCCTTCTAGTATTGCTGCCCAAAATGCTCAGCTCTTGCTGATGGCTGTTCTTCATGAGATTTTCATGAGATTGTATGAAGAAGACATGCATTTGAATAAGTATGAGGAAAAGTACAGCTGCTGTTTCATCCTATTTTTAATCTGAATCATTCTCATTAACTAAAATGTAGAGGAAAAGGCAAAAGAGCACCATATTGCTTTTTGACAGGAGGTGTTTTTTTTTCCCCACATAAATGTTGCTGGCAATGACAGATACGAGAGATTTAGCATGGATGCAGGCTTGGACAAGGTCTTTCCGTTAAGCAGATGATGCCATTTCTCCTGTAGAAATCTGCCTTCATGTGATTAATCCTTGCATGAGTTTTAACTGGCTGCTCTAGGGGCTTATTTATGCGCTTCCCATGCTCTGAAGATGACAAAACAGCGACAGGTCTTGCCATTTCCTGTGAAAATATAAATTTCCTTATGAGAAAATCACAGAGTGAATACTTGGCAGTTACCTACTGCTAAATGTGCTATGGCCTGGGGCAAAATGACAGAACTGTACAGCATCTGCTATACAGATGTATACGTACTTAGCAGTGATCTGCACTCTTGACTGTTCCATCCCTGATCTAGTTTTTTATGTTTATTAATAAACCATGAATGTATCACTAGATGACAAGATGGTAAGATATGGGTCTGTGCCATGAGTTACTGTGGACTGGTAACTTTTTATACACTCACACACACATACACACAAAGAGATGATTACTATGTGATTACTGGAAAACTAAATGCTATGTTACTGGAAAGTGGCATAGATTTTCTCTGCATTCATATTGTACAGTGACTTGTGTGATTCATTCGAAAAATAGAGATTTGTGTCCCCTGTTACAGGAACACCTGTGCTGCTTGCACAATTCAGTGAAAGCCCCATATGAAAAAAAATCAAAGCCTAAAGAAAAACTCTGAGCAGCCATTAGTCTATGAAAACTTTCCCTGAAGGATATAAAGCATATATTGGTGTATTTTTGCACAATGAAAGGATTTACTAAAAATCATTGTAGTTGTAAGATTACAGAAATAACTGCTCTGCAATGATGAGAGGTGGACTTGGTGAACAATAATCTGACCAAGAAAAGATTATTTTAAGACTGTTCTTAGAAAACTGTACTTTAAGTGACTGTGCAATTACTATCTGCAGTCTGCAGTTCTTTCCTGTGCTACAGCAACAAGGAGCTCAGGAGTCAGCAGGGAAAGACAGGAATTGTTTTTCTTTCCCTAGCCAAAGGTCTCATATTTATCAGGCTGCTTGTATGTTTGCACAGTGGCTAACACAGTAAGTCTTGGTCCCCAGTATGCTTATCTAGTCTTACAATATAAATGATATCTAAAAGGAGAATCAAAATGTTGATTCCACACCACAGTTCAAGTGCAAACAAATGGCTTCTTTGCTACAACAGATGCAAGCCTGAGCCATATCAGCACTTATGATAGAACCCATGAGCCTCTGTGTGTCCTGTGAGGATACAGGTGGGAGCACAGATCCAAGAGGTCTCTTAGCTGGGCAGTCAGTAACTTCTATAGTTATGGCCAGAACTTGACCTGTGATTCTTGGGAAGATGCTATAAACCATTTTTTTTTCAAAAGCCAAAAAAAAAAAAAATTCCCAAACTAAACCAAAAACCCAACAGAAAAGCCCAGTCCAAAACTACCATTCGTCCCTTCCTTCCTTCCTTGCTCCACTCAATTAAAAGTTACTCGATGCACCAGCTTTTAACTCCACCAGAACAAAAATCAAGTCAAGAAGAGTGGCAGTCAAAAACCAGGAACATTTCCTCCCTCACCCCAGTTGAGGAAAAATGTTGAAAAAGGAGAAACAACAGAATCTTTATACCATCAAGAAGGACTTTGCTAGTTATACAGGGTTTACAGTGCTAATGACAGGCAGCAGTATGTAATTCCGATAATTTGTTTTCCCTTTAAATAAATAAGATTGAGTTTTCAGCATCCTTGGTAGCTGCACAGCGCTGACTGTGCACAGTGGCATTTCATCTTTGTGGCTTCAGCATTCAGCAGATTTTCCAACAGTTGGCTGGGAAGTGTCCTGCTACACGCCTTCACAAAGTGTAATTCTAGCACTGTGAACACTTGAAAGCAGCCTTGTGCAAACACTTCGCTGCAGTCACAGTGCTACATGTAGCTAAATCAAGAATCTGTGACAGTACTCTTGGATTCCTAGGGTGCACCCAGGCTCTGCAGGAAATGAAGGGTTTACTTGCAATGTTTTTTTTCCACTTCCAGGAAAGCAGTGTACTATGGGGGGTTCAGCCTGTCTGCTTTTGGCATTGTACTAGAAAGATGTAAATTGTGGCCTTTTTATTTATAATGTTTTCTAGTATAGTTATTGTTATAAAGAAGTCTGTGAGGGCCACTGAGGTAATTAAGGCAGGAGTTGAATATGTGACCTGAACTTAGCTATGGGTAAGTAAGTCCAGTGTTGGGGGTTGTGAAGTGCAGGAGGATCATGTTGTAACTTTTAATAGCTGTGGGTTTGATGTGTCTCCATGCTAATTCAAGGGCTGGATTAATGGACACCTGTTCAGGCAGAGTCCCTTGCATGCACTGCCCAGCAAAGCTGGCATGAATTCTGGCCCATACATGTTTTTCTGGTTGATATTAAGAGCTCAGTGAGAAACCTTAACTCTACACTGATAAAATGTTTATATACAAATATTTCCTATCTGGAGTTTGGTCTTGAAACTGGGGAAGGAGGTTTATTGTTTTGTTTAAATAAAAAAAAGAGGTTAATTTTTAATTGGAGTAGTCATTTGCATGGCTTTTGGTCGCGTGCATATTTACAGTTGAGTTACTAGGCTTGAGCAGCTGATGGGAATGGGTACTCCTGGGATTCCTTTGGGAGCACCTAATATTCCCTGCACTATGTGATAATGTTGAGGGGCATTATGGTTACTCACTTGCATTGAAATGTCCGGTATATATAGCTGCTAGTGAGATGAATCATAAGCAGTGGCCTTTATCACAAAATATCAACCTTTTTTTGCACACCAATTAAACTAATTTTAATTTTTATCTCTCTCTTCTTTCTTCCACCTCTGTCATATGTAACCACCAACATGGGCAGCAATTCCTAGCCTACCCATCTCTTTGCATCCCATGAACCCAATAGGATTTTGAGGCCATTAACACACAGAAGCTGCACTTCATTTGGGTTCTGACAGCTTTTGTGTGTGTGTAGAAACAGAAATATATAAACACTTTTGTATGCATGTGTATTCAGGTTGCTGCATGGAAAAATATGTATATATATATGCATATATATTACAGCATTTCTGTTTTCAAGGCAGCTGTTTAAAAACATGGCTGCATACCAAACCCAGATTCTGCTGGCCTTGAATGCTTTGCCGAACCTTTTCCTGGCATGTCCATGGTCTTCTGACTGACCCCTCATTTGCACCAGCTCACTGTGAATTTCCTTCTTGCAGGGCAATCTGTTTTAAGTTTGTATAACAAACTCACCAGCATCAGGCACTTGGGCTGTCTCACTAATGCTGGCATAGGGAGGGAGTATGTCAGAGGACAGTGGTTGATTTGGGGCCCTGAATCCAGCCCTCTTGGGAAAAGGAGTTTCCAAGGATAACAGAAATAACTGTGCCTTGCTGTGTGTATATCTCGCATATGCCTTGTCACCTGAAAATCTACAGGATACCAAAGAGCAGGAACTAACTCAGGTATCTTCTCTAGCTAATGCTTTCCCCTAAACTTCCAGGCTGAGGACAACAATGTCCTCCTTCTGATTCCTTTGCTACCATACAGACTGCATTATAAAGGGTAAAACAATCCCTAGGGTCTCCAGTCATGTCAAAAAGTATGAAATACCTTTAACAAAGATAACTATGAATTTATCAAAGGGTTACCTCCTCAATAATGTTAAGACCATGACTCTTTGCATGTTGTCTGTCACTTCGGTGAAGGTGTTTGTTGTAACCCTCTTGTCTTTTAAAAATGGCATCATAAGTGGAAACATCTCCTGTCTTGAGAAAAGGGGAAAAGATGGCTAATTCACACTATTGCTTAACTTTACAGGTTACAGAATATATGTAGTCAAATCAGTACTTAAATGGTTCACATGTATCATTAGACAATCACAACTGTAGTATCACTGAGCTACCATTAGCAACTTTGGGTCACTCATTTGGAGTAGTCTACAATACAAATACCTAATAACACGTGATATCTTTAAGTCTGTTAAGCTCTGAAATTTCCCTTGTGGCAATTTAGTAATCTGTTGTAACTTCTGGAAATTTAACTGCTTTATTTGTTTTTAATTTCTGAACTTTATTCCCCTTCCTAATTCCATATAATTGTCAAATGATCTGACACTGTAATGTGAAAGGAAAGTTTAAGGCAGTTTCAAAATTCCTTTGGAATGAAAAAGACAAAGGTATCCTGCAGTGGAATCACCATTTAATTGCTGATTAAAGCAGAACTGAGAAGAATTCAGGAGCATGCCACAGTGGTAATCTTGTGATCCACTAGTATGCATGTATCTGTCATGTATGAAAATACAGCACAACCCAAGCCAGAATATTATTGTATTTACGGTACCTGTTGACATAGTTGCATCCAAATATGCAGCATTAAAGAGCTGATCTGCTAACAAATGCATTTGTGAAATCCAGTCAAGAAGTTTCATAAATGGTATCAAAGGTATTTCAAAACAAGAAAAGTTTTCAAGGAAAGAAAAGCAAAATCCTCTTTTGAAATATGCTGTCAGTTCACTAAAAGGTCCATATTCTTGTAAACATGTCAGTCAGTCACTGTTTTTGTTCATGGCTGACTACAAATTTGAAAAATTGTCCATTTTGTTGGGTTTTCTTTTCCTCTAATTTTACAGTGCGCCCAATTTAGCCATTAAAAACCTCTTGTACTTTGAGTCTTACAATTCACAATTCTATCTTCCAAAAATAATCAACTCAGGGCAGGTCAAGAAGGCTGTAATGGTTCCATTAAGAGATTAAAAGGAAACCATAGTTAAGAGTGTAGTGAGGCACTGCTGTAATCACAGGCTTAATTTGGAAGAGTATCTCCATTACTTGGTTCTGGCAAGAGGGGAGGTGGTTTGATTTAAACCTTCATTTCTCAGAAACTAGCCAGCATCAGAGAATTTTAGGCACATTTAAGAACATCCTGCATTTGATTTCTTGCTTCCATCATTGCTATTATTTCTGTGCCTCCTTGTTTCTCTTTTCCTTCCGCTGCTACCAGTTGCATTCAGAATTTTAAAGGGCATCTAATTTGTGCTCACCACCAGGAATGTTATTTGCTCCTTTGTTTTCATTCATGTGGCATTATTTGTCCATTATTTGTTACCTGTGTCAGAGTAGATAATTCATTCTTTCTGGATTCTGCAGATAGGTAGCCAGGCTGTTATTTAAAAAATTAGCCCTGTCCCAGGTGATCTGTTTAAGATCTGCCAGAAAAGGCAACACTTCTGTGCTCAATATACTCATGAACTTTTGCTGTTGTTTCTCCTTGTTAAATACTGACTTACTTGGCATAGGTGGTGGTAGTGACCTGTTTTCTAAACCCATCAGAACAAGTTAATCATACAGAGCAGACAATAAACTTGCACTCAGGGTGGGCATCCTCTGTGTACCACTACTAAAGCTAAGCACTTCGCATTCATTAATATTGCAGACACACAAAAAGTAAGTAATAGCTTTTTCCATGTCAAAGAAGAGGAAAAGCCACACAAAGTGGCTACAGTAACTTTTTTAAAACAATCAAAGGAGCAACTGTCAGCCAATAGGTTAAAAGGCAGGAAGTTCTGGCTTCTGGCTATGTGCTGGACACATGTTCCTCTTAAGTCTCTCCGTTTGTCTCTGACACACAGTTGATTTTAGTGCCATTCCTGCAAAAAAGGAATGCAATTCTTTTTCCTGTATAAATAAAAACTCTGAATGATCTGTTTTCTTAATTGTGAAGAAGAATAGGTCGATTCTGCTTCCTCCCCTGTGGCCAAGGCCTGTGCTGTGAAGAAACCTATTAAACAGCTGTTACTACTTTCTGTATCCATGCCACTGGAGCAGCATTTTCCACAAACCATGTAATCGCTAGTGTGAAAACAGTCCTCATATTGTAAGCAAAAGGTTTACCATATGGTTGCTAATTCTATGCAGACTGCAAGCTCTACCAGCCCCAAGAGCACCATGCCAGCCCTCTGACCTGCTCCAGCTTTCCTCTTGTGCTCTCTTTATGATGTTCTGTTAAGCATGGCACCAACTGTGCCTGCTCTGTTTTGGCTCAGACACCTTCCCAAGGAAACACAGAATTTAACACAAAAGAGTCTGACACTACAAATCTACCTGTCTTTTAGCAGGGCCACCTGGTCAATGCAGGAAATTTACTGTCCCTTTCATGCCCAGTGCTGTGCTGTGGTCTGCACCCTTACCCACATCCTAGGGCCACACAATGGGCAAACGCACCACTGCCCAGTAGTCTGCATTCAGCAGTCAGTCATTTGGGTGGGGAGGGCATTCATGGAGTATATTTATTATTATAAATAAATATATGTTGCCAGAATATTGCTATATTACATAGATCTAATAGACATTTCAGAACTTTTTACTGGGTTTTGTTTTTTTTTTTTTGGGGGGGGAGGGTTGGTTTGGGGCTTTTATTTTGAGGAAAAAGCTGTAGTTCAATGTCTCATATAACTCTTCAGAGAAAGATTTGCCACCTAGGAAGTATAGTGCAACTGGAGCTGAAGGTGTAAGATTGCTTTAATTTATAATTTTAAATATGAAGACAGAATGAGGGAAAGGGATAACATAACACAGCAGACAGTGACAAGTGAGACTCCCTGCTAGTCTATTTGAGTTACAAGTTAAGTGTTAGTGTAACACCTTCAGAAGCATTCAGTTATCATTGAGGTATATATTGATGTTATTGTTTCAAATATCTCTATTGATTTTCTTAATTAAAGCTGAGCATATGGAAAATTTCGGCAAGGCACATTGAAGCCGTTTCCCTCTACAGAAAATGGCGCAGTTTCTCATTAAAGGGTGTCTGAGAGTGCACATTACCAGAAAGAAAAGATGTGCTGCATCCAACCCCACTGATAGAAGATGCCTTGCTAGTGTTCTCCCTGAAGATGTCTCACGTTTTAGTGATACCATGTACTTTAATCCCCAGCAAACCATGTCTCTGCCTTCTCTTGCCATCCAATGGCAATTACTCTCATTTTCCATCCACAAGTAGCAGACACACATTACACTTGTCAAAGGCCTCTGAAAATGAAACCTGCTATATTGGCATTAAATAGCCTTGCTCATGGCCAACATACAGCATTTCTGCTGGCATTTAAAATATGAATGGAACTCTTTTAGGCACCTGCTTGACCAAGTCCCCCATGATGAGGGCTGAGCCCTTGTTAGCTATGTTGTTAGCTAGCGCAGGGAAATCCACGGGTGTAGCCTGTCCCTTCTGCCTCGTTGGGGCCCACTAAATTCTCTGGCTCATCCCTTTCCCTCCCTCACCTTGGCCTTCCGGTTGAAGTAGCTGAGCTCCGGAGGGACTTCCCGGCTGGTCGGGATGAAGCTAAAGGCGGATTGGGCAGAGAGGGGAGGCTGTCTTTTTCTTCCTGCCGCAAAATCGAGCAGCTCCTCAGCACCTCCCGACCCTTCCAGGCCATGGCCTGCCGCGGCCCCCTCCGGGCCGCGAGAGGCCATGATGCCGAGCGGCACCGTTACTCGGCAACGCTCTGCCGCCGCCCAGAGGGAGGCCCCGGGCTGCGGGGCAGAGGCGGGCAGCAGGGCCCTTAGCACCGCGGATAGGGCTGCAGAAGTGGGGAGCACCAGATCAAGCCTTTCCCAGAAGAGGTCTGGGGCAGGCTGGTCGGAACCGGCTCCCCAGGCGCGGCTGGGCTGTGGGGTCGCGGTGCCGGCGGGACTCCGGGCGTTTCCACAGAGTGGTGTTAAACCTGGGAGTGCTGATGCCCGGACAGCCAGGCGTGAGGGTTTGGGTCCGGTTTCAAGCAGCGGCCTCGGTGCCACCTCAGCGGGGAGCCTGCCCCGCAGGCCTCCCTGGGGCTCCAGCAGTGCCCTTCCTCAGGCCAGGTCCCTCATCCTTTATGTACTTCCAAGCTGGGGAAGAGAGTGAGAGCAAAGACTTGCTTCTTACGGTGCTGCTTGGGGATGTGTGACTGACTACCTTGGTTTGTTTTATCTTTCTTTTCCGCAGCCACAGTTGCAGAACTAGTATGCCATAGGCACAGCATTACTGTTATTACTACCAGTATCTTTTGGCAAGCACTTTCACAGCAGCGGTTTTCCAGGCATCTTGAATTCTACTGAACACACAAGATTTATTTTATAAACACCAACATTTAGAGTACCAGAAGTCTTCACAACTGATTGTTTTGGGCATTTTGGACCCAGGCAATAATTCATGCCTACTGATTTATAAGTCCCATCCCTGCTGCCACTCTCCCATCAGTAGTACACTGAATAACATAACCTCTTGCTTCTTTGCAGGTGCTGTGTGGAGGCATTTATACTCTACAGACTTGGGTGGGTGTTTTTTTTAATCAGTTGTGACAATTCCCACCTGCTTATCTAATAACATCTCCTTATCAATTAGGATCCTCTTCTTTCTGTAGCACGGGCTGAATTAGTGCAGTGTAAGCGAGCGGTGGAATTGAAAACCCAGCAGCTGCCTTACATCAGCTTCCTGTGCAGAGACACGTTTGCCACTGTGCAAGTGCATTTTTTATAGTTTAGTCCAAGCAGCAAGAGACAGCACACCCATTTATAAAAAGCAGCTCAGCTGAAGCTGCAGCTATAAATAGAGCTGCAAGAAACCATTCGCTAGAAATATAAACTAAGCTAGAAAAGAGCTCTGAAGTCACATCTAAAAGATTTCTCTCCAGGTTTCTTTCTACTGTTCACATGTAACTCTATGATTAACATTTAAGATGGCATTAAACTGAATTACACAATGTAATTCAGATTGTTAAAAATACTGCTGGATGCCTGTTACAGATTTGTATTGCGTGTGTGTCCCCCATTTGACGTAATTAAAACCAATGCTTTTCAGTTAATTTTTCTTTCCTAATGAAGGTATGAATCCCTTTAGAATTATAGAATTGTTTGAGCCTTGCAAAGGCTTTTTCTTCCTTGCCACCTTTTGCACGCTTCCTAGAAGCAGGATATTAATGTACAGGGGTGTTGTTCCAGTTACAACCAGATTTAGATCACGAGCTACTAATATGCTACTGTTAAGTGCATTTCCTGTTACAGAGTTGCACAGAAGGTCAGTCTGTTTCCCTAGTAACTTAAATATGAACATGTAAATAATCGTGAGAGGGCAATGGAGCAATTTTAAACTATATGGTCAAAATGATGCATTCAAATACAGCTGAGCTCAGAGACCAAAGTCTTAAAAGTTGCTTTGAATTCAATGTCTGAAGGAGGAGAAGTTCAACTTCCTGCCTTTTTAGGGAGCAGTAATATCCCTCTCAGGTTCTTCTAAGGTTCCTGATGTGTACTTTTATAGCCATGAATGTCTCACAGGCAAAAAAATTAAAAAATTCTTAATTTGTGAAGCAAATGGTAAGGGGGGCAGGAAGGAACATGACAGAGATGGCAAAGACAGGGGAAAGAAGACAGGATGGACACAGGAGGACAGATGATATATAACTGGACAGGTTATTGATATGCAGAAAAAACACAGTAGCTGTTTTCTTACTACAGTCTGGTGTATCTGTTTTAAATTCATGTCACTTATATCTGAGATAGGTAGCCTGCTGTCAACTTACAGCTTAGCAATTCATCTCCTGTCCCTGCTGTTTGACATTAATGTGTATCAGTTCCCTACCTTCAGCTGAGCCACGAAAGAGACAATCTTAGTTGCAAACATTCCACTGATGGCCCTTAAAGAAGAGGCTGGAATAAAAATGGCTCAAAACCTTTGTCCCCTTTTCACTACCGTAGCTTTGGTCCAAGCCAGCTGTTTTACACAAGTGCTTGTTTCTTCTAGATCCTAATTAGTGACAGATTGCCCATCTCAAATAGGAAGACTTCACAAGTTTTCTGAAGGAGGTGCTTGACTAGAGAAGTACACTTTTCAAATAATCATAATTATTTTAATAATTTGAAAACAATTATAAAATTATAAGTCGTTGACTGATCTAATTTGCAATTATTATTTGTATGCTGATGTGGTGGGTTGACCATGGCTGGACACCAGGCGCCCACCAACGCTGCTCTATCACTCCCACTCTGCAGCAGGACAGGGAAGAGAAAATACAATGGAAGGCTTGTGAGTCAAGACAAGGACATGGAGAAATCACTCACCAATTACCATCACTGGCAAAACAGACTCAATTTGGGAAATCAGTTTAATTTATCATCAAACAAATCAGAGTAGGAGAATGAGAAATAAATCCAAATCTTAAAACACTTTCCCACCACTTTCCCATCTTCCCAGGCTCAGCTTTCCTCTACCTTTCCTCTACCTCCTCCCCTCCAGCAACATAGGGGCACACAGAATGGGGGTTGTTGTCAGTTCATCACACGTTGTCTCTGCTGCTCCTTCCTCCTCAGGGGAGGACTCCTCACACTCTTCCCCTGCTCCAGCCTGGGGTCCCTCTCACAGAAGACAGTCCTCCATGAACTGCTCCAGCATGGGTCCCTTCCATGGGTGCAGCCCTTCAGGAACAGACTGCTTCAGTGTGTGTCCCTTCTATGGGTCAGAGTCATTTGCTCCAGAGTTGCCTGCAGCAGCAAACCTACTCCAGCATGGTCTCCTCTCTCTATGGGGCCACAGGTCCTGTCAGGACTCTGCTCCAGTGCAGGCTTCCCACGGGGTCACAGCGTCCTTCAGACATCCCCCTGCTCTGGTGTGTGATCCTTCATGGGCTGCAGTTGGAGATCTGCTCCACTATGAACCTCCATGAGCTGCAGGTGGCTATCTGCTCCAGTGCCTGGAGCACCTCCTCTCCTCCTTCTGCGCTGACCTTGGTGTCTGCAGAGCTGCTTGTCTCATGCATTCTCACTCCTCTCTTCAGGTGAAGTTGCTCCTGTGCAGTAACTTTTTCTCCCTTCTTAATTATGTTACCCCAGAGGCACTGCCCCCATCACTGATGGGCTCTGCCTTGGCCAGCAGTGGGTCTGTCTTGTAGCCGGCTGGCATTGGCTCCATTGGACATGGGGGAAGCTTCTGACAGCTTCTCACAGAAGCCACCCCTGTAGCCCTCCCACTACCAAAACCTTGCCATGCAAACCCAGTACAGCTGACTGAAGTCTGCTGAATGGATACTCCAATTCAGATGAATATGCTGTTCAATAACCCTCTTGGTAAGCAGCGTGACTTTATACATGAGGTGACATTATTTTCATAACAGATGTTATTTGTAACATTTTGGAGTACAAACGTGAAAACTTTAGTTGAGCAATGTTAATCTTTCAAATTACTTCATGTTCCTTTTTTCCTGTCAAAACTGAGATTTTCATGAAGAGCATCTCAATGGCTACAGATATATTTGAAAGATACTCCATCAAAAATTTCAAACAATTCTTTGCAGAATCTTTGTTTTGAACAGTGGCATCCTACAACATAAAGGGGTTCATATCTTCATAGTTGCAAACAGGATTAAAATGTCCTTATCTTTCATTTTGTCATATTAAAAATGACATTGACCTGAATAATTTCTGTCCCTAAATTTGAAAATGTTTAAAATTACTATGTAGCAAACCAGCTACAGTTGATTTATACACCACCTTTGACAAATCCACACAAATTTGAAGTACTTCAAGGAACAAAAATAATCTCTTAATTGCATTTTATTTAAGGCACATATATCTCATTCTACATTTGTTTCCTTCCCAGAGTCACTCCACTATTCTAGACAAGAAAGAAAAAATAAAACTAAAAAGTCCTACTCTTAAAATCGTTTGGGGTCCACCAGTAAAAAGTGTTGAAGAGTTTTGTTTATGTCAGGTGAAGGAGGATCTGCTACTGAAAATGAAAAGAATTAAAATATCCTCACACAGAAGCATAACCAAGAGGAAAACTACACATCAAAGGGAAAAGTAATCGTTGCGTTTAACAGAAATCTCCTGCTATGTGCAGCATCCTGACAACATAACTAATTATTTGTCCTGATATGAGGTTCTGAAAACAGGACAGGCTTTCAACAGCTCTACCTTCATATGTGCTCAGCTGTCACTTTAGAAACAAGCAGATTGAACTACCTATATCTCAGTAGAAAAAGAGAAGGTCTTTAGGTATTTTACAAAATAAAGGAAACATAAAGGAATATAAAGAGAATGAAAAATGCTTTACACAGTATAAATAAAATGGTAATGTCTCTTTAGAAGCAGCAGCTAAATAGCATTAATTTACAGGTAATCTCGAATATTTTTGTAGTTCACAAAAAATATCTGCAAGTCTAATCTTTCTTCCTGTCTTCTGGTAGCCCTCCATAAATTGGAGCAAAGCATTGCCTTTGAAAAAGAAATCCAGCAGGCTCCCCAGGTGTTCCTGTTTGATTTCCTTTTCCCATAGCACAGTGAGTCACTCTTACATCCGTCTCCTGGCTGTTGCCTCATGGTGTGAAAGACATTGGCACTTTTGGAAGTCACACCCTTTGTAGTTTGCTACCAACCTACGAACTATGGCACCAAAACCTGGTGAGCCCTACTGTGATGCAGAATATATGGAATGTCAAATACTGATCTGCATGATTATGATAAAGCTTTTCAAGTTACACACTGGTACATAGCAATGTTACATCCAGTTATTGAGGCAGATGAAATTGCTGCAGGAGAGGATGAAAGAAGATACAACTCTGGGTCAATCTA